CATTCATATAACCAATAAACTGAGAAAATGCAGCAATAAAAAAAGAGAAAACTGCTAATTTGTTTAAATCCCTTCATATTTCCAGTTTCAGGATCTGTTAGTTTTTTTTTCCTTGAAATGTTTGAAGGGAAACGTTTGTGCTTTTATGTCACATTGATGGAAAAGAGCAAATTTTCATCCTTCAGGCAGAATCAGGAATCCTGGGAATGGTCTGAACTTTCCACCTGATCCACAGCCAACAATCAAACCTGCAGGAGCATCAGTGACCTCTGACCTCCTATGAAACATAAACAGCTGGATTCAACGGGAGACATGTTGATTTAACTTTTACACACTTTCTTTTTCATAAATAAAAATCTTAAAAGAGTGGCTTGTGTGCTTTTGTGTTCAATACCCATCAATCATTGATTAAAAACTAAAGAGTTAATAAAATACAAAACATTAAAAATATAAAATATGTCCAAATCTCCAGCAAAGGATCAAAAAATGAGATACGACCTTTAGAGGACGGAAGACTGAAAGAAAGAAAGAAAGAAAGAAAGAAAGAAAGAAAGAAAGAAAGAAAGAAAGAAAGAAAAAGAAAGAAAGAAAGAAAGAAAGAAAGAAAGAAAGAAAGAAAGAAAGAAAGAAAAGAAAGAAAAAAAGAGAAAAAAAGAAAGAAAGAAAGAAAGAAAAAAAGAAAGAAAAAAAAAAGAAAGAAAGAAAGAAAAAAAGAAAGAAAAAAAGAAAGAAAAAAAGAAAGAAAAAAAGAAAGAAAGAAACAAACAAACGATGGATGAAAATATTTCCTGCATTTTCTCTAATCCTGTTTTTCCTGCAATCATCATTTCAAACTGATCAATACTTCCAGAGCAAACCTGGAAACAATTCAGGGAATCATACAGCAGGACGACCTCAGGTTGGTCATGAACTGGTCGGACCTGAAGGTTCTGACTCGGTTCTGGACAAAGGGGAGCTTTCTGGACTTTCCTCAGCAATGAGCAGAAACCAGCAGAACCTGATGTCCATCAGGTCAAACATCAATTTTCATTATTCATGCTGGATCTCAAACGCTGCGCTCTGATTGGATGTCACAATGTTTCAGTTTAATCAAATACATTTCTGTGATTTAAATCATAAAAAGCTAAACTTACAGCTCAAACGTCATCAGATTAAAGCTGCAATGAGACCAGAGTTACATTTATTCAACAACATTCACTTTTTTGGTAAAAATGTTTTAGTTCCACTGGATGATAAACTTTGACAAGGAAACTTGTTTTGTTATAAGTGGATTTATCTGCCAGTGGAACCAGATCTTTTCCATCAATATTAAAGGAATTATTTACTTAAATAAGCCTCTTTATTTTTCTTTGTCTCACAGATATTTGCAGTAGAAACGACTGTGTTTTGCAGTTTAGTGCTTCTCTTACACTTTTGGGTTCTCTGAGGAATAACTGGAAGGTTTTATAAGATTAAAAACATCTGAGACATTTTACGAAACAAAACCTGCAGAACAGATTTAATCTGTAATGATGTGACAAGGTCAAAGGTCATATGAGACAGCGTACAGATGTTGCTGTGGAACGTAAGTTAATAAACGCGTTTTGATAAACATATAATGTTTGTTTCTGCCTCTGAAGGCACAGAGTGGTTCTGTGAAAACGAGTCTGGACCGAGTCCAGTCCTCTCCGAGCCAGAGGCGCTCCGTCCTCCTCCGTCCTCCATCCGTCCTCCGTCCGTCCTCCTTGTCCCCCTCCGTCCTCCTCTCTACCTCGGCTTCCTCTTCTTTTTCGCCTCCGACTCTTTGTTTTTCTTCCTGCCGCTGATCTCGGCTTCCCACTGTTTCTTCACCAGTGTGTAAAGCCTCATGGTGGCCTGAGCGTCCTGCACCTGGAAAACACAGGAAGTGACCTCACTTTAGCTGTGAATCAGCCGATATTCCGGTAAAAGCTCGGATTACTGATGACTTACAGACGAGTGTTCGCCCTGCTGGACTTTTACGTTCAGGACTTCTCTGCAGAGGACTTTGAGCGACGGCCGGCTACTCTGAAGACGGAAAATCAGATCAATACAGCTGGAATTTTAATTTTACCTTTAAAACATATCAATACTTTATGTTTTTATGTTACCTTGGCGATCCGCCTGAAGGGTTTATACTTCTGTGTGTCTCTGATGAACTTCTTTGGATGATCCAGAAGCAAAATCTGAAAACATTTCCAAACGTTAACCAACCATTTAAAGATGGTTTTAAGTGTTTATTGTTTTAGGTGACAAGATGCAGCAGCTGAACCTTTTCACATTCAGTCACATTATACAGAAAACTGGAAGAAGAGGAAGGAGAAAGTCTCTGTTTAAAGAAAGTCATGAGCCACGAAGGAAACAGCCACTCAGTGCCAGGAGGTGATCTGGTCACATGAGACCCGGCTTGAACTTTTTGTTCGACATGCAAATCAGAGTTTGTGTGAAAAAATAACAAACATAGTTGATAAGAGAATGGATGGAGCTGCAGCCAGCGCAATCCTGGAAGAAAACATGAATGTTTTCATCTCCATCTGTGGTTATAACACAAGAAAATATGAAAACATTCAATAAAATTTGAAAAGTCTGTCGTTCACAATAGAATAAGACCCTTAAAAGTTTCAGTTTTAAAGCCTAAAATGCACAGCAATAAATGTCAGTACATAAGAGAAGCAAAAATTCATCAGGGAAACAGAAAATATGAAAGTCAAAAAATTAGAAATTTTGTGATTAATATCATAAATTTTCCATAATTTAATTTTTACAACATTTGAAAATTTTTCACTTTTGGAAAACTTTTTACTTGTGAAACTCAGAAATTTCCAAGTTTTGTCTAGAAAATTTCACAGATTAATATCAGAATTTCTGAGTTTTTTTTTCCAAGCAAATGTTCAACTTGTCAAACTCAGAAACTTCCACATTTTTTCTCTAGAATATTCCTCAGAGGATTCTCAAACTTTCTGAGTTTTTTGAGGGAAAATTTCCTCTGACGTCGGTTTACCAGACATTGTACCTTTAAGTCGTTGTGGATGGCATGTCCAACCACTATTCTCCCCTTCAGGATGTCGGCGACCTCCCTCTGCACCGTCTGAATATCCTCTCCTGCAGTGAGACAAACAGACATTAAATCCAGTCACATGACCAGGAGCTCATGCGGTTGTGGCGGTTTGTCCGCCGCCTCACCGTCCTTGATGTCCTGCGGTCGGATGCCGCTGACGGCTGTCCTGTAGTCAGTCACCTTCTCTGTGGGTTTCACATATTTGTCATAGATGCATTTCCCAAACTTGTTCACCAGGGACACTCGGGCCAGGATGCTCTCTTCACCATCAGGACCGACTCCCACCATCTCACAGTCGATGGCAACAGTTTGGGTTATTCTGGCAACACAGAAGAGCAACCAGGGTCAGGAAAGGGGATCCAGAGGCTTTAATAATCAGCTGCAATGTTATTTGATGGCCATGATGAAGAGCAGACAGACAAACCAATACTGGGATGAGGTAACTAGCTACAAGGTTAGTTGCTCTAACCCTAAAGAGCTAATAATAAACATTAGTTTTGCTAACGCTAAAGCCCAACGCCAACATGGTATTTAGTGGAGGCTAATGCTAAAGAGCATCAATTTAATTTTGACATTATAATTTACATGATATGTCCAAATGTTGACATTATAACATGTCAACATTTGATAATACTTTAATGAATACTACATTTCTTCTGAAGTTAAATTTTTTATTTGCAGTTTCTATTATTTTTTTGTATCATTGATAAAAATGTCTTCATCTTTTATTCATAAAAATATTTTATGCTTTCATAATGTTCTGTAATACCAACACTTAATGCCATTTTTTCTTGCTATTTTAATAAAAACATTTTTTAATCCTTCATCTTCATTATGCTCATATTCATAGATCTGCCAGCAGAGGGCGCTGTGCAACCAGCCACCAGCAGAAGCAATTACCCACATCCCTAAACAAAGAAAATTACTGAGCATAACATTACTAGATATGCCTTTAAAATGATTTATTAACTAGTAAAGTTATAGTTCAGGTTTAATTAAATTACATTAAAACAGCAGCAACTTTTCTTCTGTTTACTCAACAGATCAGTTCAGTCACAATAACATTTTTTTCCAGATGATAAATCGTCCCAGAACTTATTACAATGACAATTTTCAAGTAATATAAGAGTAATAATGGAAGAACACATTATCAAAGATCAATAAACTTTAAATTATGATGAACATTTTGACATTGAAACTGGAAATAAATAAACAAAAACAACAGAAACAACAAATACAATAAATTCTAGAGTCTCTGGTCATTAAATTGTCTTTCAAAAAAGGGAAAGTTGAGACCAAAGCAGCAGATTGACGACCAGCTTTGGTACAAAGAGAGAAAAAAGACAAACGATAAATCAAGCAAAAGAAAATTATTGAGTTTGTTTTAGTTTATCAGGCCAATAATTGATTTATTGAGACAAGCCTAATTGTGATTTTATTTTATAACATAATACCACTACTATCACTAATAATAATAATATCATACAATAAACAAATTCACAAAGCAAAGAGTAACAATAAGTATAAAAATATAATCTCCCTCAGTTTCTTATGAATTCTTTTTTGACTGTCTGTTTTTGCATTAATTCACACTCATGAGCCACATGTTATTCAGCATCATGATTTGGTTTTTCTAACAGGAATGTTTTCCAGAGGCGCCGCCACTCACCCGCTGAAGGCCGACTCCTTCACCAGGGAAGTCTCTGGCTCTTTGCTGCGGACGCCTTGTTTCCTCCTCATGATCTCTGCTGCCTCTGCTCCCATCGTTTCCTCGATAACATCGGGGTCGACGTCGTCGAACCAAAGGTCGTCCCTGAAACAGGAGCTCAGGAGTCAGAGCGCCGCAGTCTGACTTGGACTGGATCAAGAAAATTTGCAGCTTAAAGAATCCGTGGTTCAGAAAGTTGATCTAAGCTGTTACTGAATGTTACTGAATTCTGATAAAAAAATGGATTTAGTTTTAAAATGACATGCAATATATATATATATATATATATATATATATATATATATATATATATTGTTTGTGTAGCCTAATCAGACTGAAAAAAGGCAGACCAACTATTGGCACCCCTGCTGTGAACAGAGTCACATAAAGACAGTTACAAAGTCGGCCTTCGATCATCTGAAGAACATTTCCAGGATTAAAGGACTAACGTTCCAGCAAAATATAGAAAAACTCATCCATGTGTTTATTTTAAGTTGAATTAATTCACAAGTTTGTCTAATAAAGTCAAAAATTGAATTATTTCCACAAAAATATTTAAGCTTTGAAACAGAAACGACTCTTCAGCTTCATCATTTATGATGATGTTCTCATCCTGTTCCAGTGGAACCAGTTCTTTTAAGTCCACTATCTCTCAACCCAAATATAAACATTTTTACAGTGTACATACTCTGTAGGTTTCCTCTCCTCAACCAATGAGATCTTCTTCTTCTTCGTTGGTCCCTCTTCCTCACTGTTTGGCATTTCTTTGTCTTTTTTCCTTTTTGGAGCAGTAGATTGCTGAGAGTCTGAAGCTGCAGGGAGCTTCAGATTCTCTCCAGAAACAGGAACCGTTTTCTGCTTTTCTTTTTTCACAGAGTCCCTTTCGCTCGGAGCAGCAGAGTTCACACTTTTCCTCTGAAAAGCATTTTCTTGGTGTTTCTTCGTTGTGAAGCCATTCTGATGCCTTTTCTCTTGGCTGCTCTTCAGGACCTGCAGGAAAGTTTGGGAAAGGTCAGTATAATCTCCAGTGAACGCTTCTGTTTAGATGCATCCACACTGCAGAGACCAACCTGCTGTAATGCTTTCCAGTTGGCAGAGATCAGCTGGGCTTCCTGTGGAGGTCCAGGTTTCTCCTGCTGCTTCTGTGGCGCTGCTGGCTTCCCAAGCTTCTTCTTCTTCAGGTTCTGTTTGATCCAAAACGTCTTCCTCTTATCTTTAGCCGTATGTTTATGGATCTTGGCGTCAGAATGCGCTTTCTTCTCCTTCGCCTTGGACATTGTGATTTAAAACGCACCGGATGACGACGTCCGATCGAGAATTGTTCACGGAAGTGACTTTACAGTAAACGGAACAGTAACAGAAATAAAGTCTTCAAATATGTTCTTTAAAGGCTCATAATTTTGCTCACCCGTGGGGTTTCCGAAGCCATGCTGCATTGTATCTCTCCGGTGTGCAACAGCAAAATGTTTCCGTCGAAGCAACACTTCCCGATTTTACACGACAAACTATGCTGCTAAATTATTTTTATTTTCTATATAATTGAAAGAAATAATTATGTGTTAGTAAAATTGCATTTTAATGTTTTGTCGGTGACGTTTTTCCCTACATAAAGCGTAACTCCGATGTAGGAACGTTTGTTCCGAGAAATGTTTCGCATCGACCTAATGTACGGTACGGACAAACGTCACGACGTTAAGGGGGTTGTCGGAAGTCTTCGTGGTGATAAAATGTAGGTTATGTTTGCATTTTGGTTAAAATTGTTTTCGTTATATTTATCTGTGATATCTATACTATTATTTAGCTCAGGTAATTTGGGCAAATTGCTTTTTTAGGAGTATTTCTTACAGAAATAGGAGTGTTTGTCATATAGCTTGTTGATAAAGGAAGTAAAGCCCAGTTTAGGTTTATTAGGGGTTTCTCTCTCTCTCTCTCTCTCTCTCTCTCTCGCTGTTTCTCGTTTGATTTCTTTAGTCTTGTGCTTCTGTTTTAGTTTCAGATCATGGTGGAAAACTCCCCGTCGCCGCTGCCTGAGAGAGCCATCTATGGCTTTGTGCTCTTCCTGGGCTCACAGTTTGGTTTCTGTAAGTTTCTCTTTAGGTTTTCTTAGGAGCCATTTCTTCTTGTGGAAGAGAAGTGGTGAGAAGTGAAAACCACCACACATGTTTATATTCATTCTATATTATTCTGTATTTATTGCACATTTTAAGATGTTTATATTGGTTATAATTATCTAAACATAATCAATCATTAGCCACAGCAGACGGTAAGCCGGTGACACCAGAATTAGGTGAAAACTGTTGGACTTTTTATTTTCATACCGATTCAAATTAAAGAAATGTGTATTTTTTGTTAAATCCAGTCATATTCCATTGTTCTTTTCTGGGAAGAAATGAGCCACATTTATGACACTAATAAGGCTGAATACTTCAGTAAATATGGGTGATTTTTACAAGGAGAGTCATCCTTGTAACTGTCTCCTCTCTGTAGTTTTGTTCTGCCTGTGGGCGTATGTACCAGAGGAATGGCTTCATTCAGTAGGACTCACCTACTGGCCTCAGAAGTAAGTTACCTCCCTTGTAATAATAGATATCTCCTGCTGCCTTTGTTACTGTTTTATGAAATGTTTTGTGTTGTTTAGGTATTGGGCTCTTGCGATGCCAATCTACCTCCTGGTTGCATTAATGGTTTCTTTTGTTGTGTTGTTCGGCATTAACATGAGCAACACGGCTCCACTGGACTCTGTGGACAACGTCACAGGTGAGACTCCATCCCATCATTTACTATAACTTCCACTGAACTGCAAGAAATAAAGCTATGCATATTTTATTTAGGACAAAAAAAAAATTCAAAGCTCAACAGCTCTTCAGGCACAACATGTTCTCATCCAGATATTGCTAAACTTCATCTTTCTGTCACAGATGTATTTGCACAAGGTCAGAGGTCAGACTGCCACAGGAAGGGTGGAATACCCCGACTGGAGGACGTCTCCATCAGTGAAGTCAACAAAATGTTCTATTTATCCTCTGAGACGTGACAGTGGGCGGGTTAAGATTCACTGCACCGTCGCTGTTTAGTTCATTTGATTGTTGTTTTCTTGTTAGAAAAAACTCAGTTTTATATGACAACAATTATATAATTGCTATGATATTAAATCCTCAGGTTTTTATTTATTTTTCTTTCTGTATGGGTCAGAAAAATGCAAAGTTTTGTGCAGCAATTATTGTTTTTATAAAGCCCAAAGTAAAGTATGGCTCCAAATCTGTAATAAATATAATTCTTTGAAAGCAATTCTAAAATGAAAGTGCATCAATTTGTGTTGGAGATGTTAACAAGGTAACAAGTAAATAATACTGTTATAAATGATTAATTTGTTAAATTGATGGAATAAATAATAATGGAAGTATCAATGGTAATGCATATTATATTGAAAACCTACATTAATGTTACATTTGTCTTAAAATAATAAATGATAATAACTGTTGTGTTTATGCAGAAGGAAGAAAGATCATTCTCAGTTTATGTCAAATTTTATTTATTATGTAACAACTGATTTATGAGTCACTGAAAGTCTCCATTGTTGCATGTTGCATTTATATATCATTGTTACCGATATCTGGATTTTGAGTAAATGCTAATACTAATTTCCTAGATCAGAAGAAAACCTTTAAATACAGAATAAAATATTTGTCAAATAGTTTTTTTCAAAATGGAATGAGCTGGGTTTAGTTTTATTGAATATTTTTGTTTTTATTAAGTTAAATTCTGTGCAAAATTATCTACAACTACTGTACTTACTGTAAAGATTTTATTTTTTAAATTAACTTTTATTTATACAGAATGTCTCATTGATATTTAAGATCTTATTTACGAGAAAGTATTTTTTTTTTGTGAAAAGCCTAAAAATAAACGGATCTTTATTGCAGTGGCAAGATTTCATTGTACGATGTTCACTTTATTTTTAATCTATTGCAATGATGTTATAGTGAAAGAGAGACTGTACTGACTGCTGCAGCATCCTTTCTGCCTGTGTCATGTCATGTGACCTGCTTAGCAGGCTGTGCTAGCATGGTGTTTGTGTTTAAATGTAATGCATTTAGGATTTAAATATTTTGATTTCTATTGTAGTTTATTTTTAAGTTTTGTAAACTCAAAAATGAGATGACTCATGAATCCTTTAAACAAATAAATACATTGAGTTCATTATTATGAAGTCATATCAAAACATGCTAGCTCAACTTTAGTAAACTGTTAGTATAAAAGCATTGCTAGCAATAGTTATATTAGTTCATTAAAGAAGCTTAGAGAAAGTTATGATAAACTATTTGGTGATGGTTGTTGACAGCTTTGTAGACCCTGAAGCTAATTAATTTGTTGCACTTAGTCTTTATTTTGTTGAGTTTAGTTGATTATTGGATCGATATTTTGGCCAATGAAAAATCCTGAAAATAAAAATAACTAATTAATCTTCCTTGGAGAATATGATCCAAAAAAATGTTAACAAACGAAAATAAATAAAAATATGACCACTAGAGGGCCCTAAGCTCTAGGGCCCTCTAGCAAATCATTCTAATGATTTGTTAGAAGAAGAGTCTTTTGTTTCGCTTTGAGCGCAGCAGCTGTTGTTTAGCATAGCCTGTGTTACTTTATCACTGAGTTTGTTGGACCCGCAGCTGGTTGGAGGTTCTGGCTGGAAGTTCTGGCTCCGGTTTGGACCTCATGGCCTTCCCGGCGCCGGTGTGGCTCGCCGTCCAGGAGGAGCTGCTGGAAGGCGGCGAACCGGAGGAGGACTGCGACTCCCAGAACTGCTTCAACGACTTCACCGACCAGGCTCTGTTTGAGAACTTCCACCTCTCCAGAGCCTGCATAACCTTCATCGCAGACGCCGTCCGCTTGCGCGTTAAGTCGGCCGCCTTTAAGAAGAGCCACCCGCCGGTGGACGTGATGCTCATGACCGCGCTGAGCTACTACGCCCACGGCATGTTTAACTCCTCCCTGCAGGCGAAGACGGGGATCAACCAGCCGACCGGCCTGGTCAACGCGGTCAACATCATCTCCGGGGTGATCGCGGGGATGTCGGACGTGTTCATCTCCTTCCCTCTGACCGCCGAAGCCAGAGCCAGAACCGCGTCCAGGATGGAGGAGCTCTGCGGGATCCCCGGCGTCCTGGGCGTCCTGGCCCCGGCGCACTTCAAGATCAGAGCCTCCCCCTACGACAAGAAGTCCTTCAAGTCGTTCATCAACACGCTGGGGTACACGTCGGTGGTGAGCCAGTTCATGTGCGACGCCGAGGGAAACATCCTGAGCGTGGAGAAGTGCTGCGTGGGCAGCGCGTTTGAGCAGGAGCTGTGGGAGTCCTCGTTCAAAGGGAGGGAGGTGGAGGACGGTCTGCACGGACCTTTCTGGTTTATTGGTGAGACACGAACAAGATGCGCTGAAAAACAAAACCAGAGCAGTGGTGGGTTTTTTTAGCCTCCGCTTGTGTCCACCCAAACCCACAGCAAACCACGACATGTGAAAAAAACACACACTTCCTGTTATGCTTACCTAATTGTAGCTCAGATACCATCTAACTCGTGTGTGCATGAAACAAACCAGATCCTGGTCAGATAAAGAGGTTAGTTTTGTAAAACATAATGGTTGATCAAAGCTGCCCTGGGCAGAAACCAGAATCCCATTAACTCCAAGGTCCTCGGTTCAAATCCCAGCGTGGGGTCATTTAAAAATAACACAAATAAGTCATCTATTCCACTAACATTTTTTAACTATAATATGAGTTTAAAACACACAATTACCTTTACAGGATTCTTGCTTCATCCTGTAAAGCAATATTTACAGGAAAAGTTTTATCAAAAGTTATCTGATCTGTTCATCAGATAGCAAATAGAGTAAAGACAAAACTGCTGATGTCGTCATAATAAAGTTCAACCTATTAGTCACCAACATATGGAAGAGGATTAGAGCCAAAAAAGGAAAATTCAAACTCAAATTTTGAGTTTGAATTTTCTTCTTTTAAGAGTTTTTTCTCAGAACTCTTAAAAGAAGAAGTCAAGGTGAATTATTCTCAGATGTGCATTCTTAGAAAGATTAGCAGAAATTAGCATTACACCAGTAAATCAGCAGAGGTAGCAGGGAAACCAAATATACTGAAGTAAAAGTAGCACAACATATTTCTACTCAAGTAAAAGTAAAAAGCAGCCATAGAAAAGATGGATGCAATTAGGCCAAATCAATAAACACACAATCAATCAAGTTTTAATCAAATGAATTAAAACAAACTCAATCATTTCCATTGGCATGATTTATCATGTCTTTTTTGTCTCTTTCTACCAAAAACTGGATGATAAAAGTTTTCAGTTTGGTGTTTTGGTTTCAACCAGCCCTTATTTTGAAGGACAATTTTGTTCACAAAGACTTCAAAATGTATTTTCTTTGTTGTTTTGTTTGCTTGTTTTGATATTTAAATGTCTTCCAGTTCCAGTGTTACTGAGCTTTTAGAATGTATTCTTGGATTATCTTACTATTACCGTGATGTCACTTAAAAATGGTGTCAAAACAACAATATTAACGTTTATTGCAATAATGTGTGGAACAATTTATCGTCCAGCAAAATTTGTTATCATGACCGTCCTATATGTGATATTTCTATGCTTGGTTTTTGTCTAACTGAACTCATTTTCTCTCGTTTCATGTGAAGCAGGGAAAGGCTACCGGTTGAGCAAACACGTCCTGACCCCCGTGTCCAACCCGGCGTTCGACCGTGAGGTCCGCTTCAACGAGGCGCACGCCAAGGTGCGCCGCGTCATGCAGAGCATGCTTGGCGCCATGAAGAGGCGCTTCAGGTGTCTGCAGCAGCTCGGCTTTGCAGAAGAAGCCTGTCTGAACAAAAAGTCCAACATCATCAAGTCGTGCAGCGTCCTGCACAACATCGCCAAAAAGTTCTCCGTCCCTCTGCCGCCGCGGTCCGGGGTGAGCGAACCGTCGTACACGGGCAAGCTGTATACGTCTTCAATGGAGATCGACCCAGAGGCACTAAAAGCCCGACAGGAACTCATCGACAGGAACTTCTCTGCCTCCGTCAGCAGCCGGGACTCGCCGCAAAGCCAGGAGGATCCGTGAAACTCACTCAGTTTCCTTTGATGCAATTGCAGAAGAAAACATTGAAAGTTTTTTTTCTTCCAGTCAGAAAAACTTTGGATTGTTTAGAATATAAAATGTTTTATTTCTATGTACAGATTACATTTTTCTACTTGAACAATTTTATAATTCTAATAAAATTTCTAACATTCTCTGGTCATTTGAAGGATATTAAGATTTAATAATAATAATAACATAAGGCAGCAAAATAACAAACCGGCAGATGTAAACTACAAAAGCATTTCTATACAGTATGAACACCATGTATAAATGTGCTTCATGTTCAGAGTATAATGACACTATCAGCTCGTCATCATGTCCATCAAGTCTTAGTGCTGGGCTGGTCCCGGTTCCGCCGGCCGGGTCAGCGGAGCTGTCGCAGCGCCGTGGCGTTGACGTATATCAAGTCGTCGTTCTCGTAAATGTTCTCCTCCTGGCCGCCGGGCGGCTGCAGGCTGTCCATGATGCACTGGTGCAGGAACACGTACTGGGACTGACGAGGGACATTTAAAACAAGACTTTTAATAGAGATGTTCGATAACGATTTCCTTTCCGGGTAAAATTCAAGCTGGTATCGGCAATACCGATAAAATACAAATACTTTGTGCTAAAATTTTATAAATCTAAAAAAATTAAGTAATTAAACTCTTCACTGTAAAATAGTACAAAACATTTTTAAGTGTGAAGGGGTGGCAGCAGATTTACTGTTTTCCCTTCAGTCTGTTTCATTTTAGCCTCTGAAAAGATTTTTATTTAGATAAGATCTCAATAATTTAGTTACTTTCTAGAACTTTTGTTAACACTCATCTCAAGTGACAGAAGTACTGGAGTTTATTTTACTGTAATGTTAACCTCCAAATAACCATACGGACAATAAATCTACAAACACCAAAAGCAGCTTTGTTAAGATTTATGGGTGTTTGCTGTGGAGAGCAATAATCCTGCAGTGTTAGATTTACCTCCGTCTGCACCATGTGAGATCGATGCTGCCTCATCTTGGAGACGAAGCTGTTGATGCCCACGGCCCGCTCCTGCTGCAGCTGCTGCAGCAGGACGTCCAGGGCGATGATGGTGCCCGTCCGGCCCACCCCGGCACTGGCAGCAAAACAACAGATACCAGCACTTTAACACTCTGGTTAAACATCATGAACATCAACTACAGGAAGCTACATGTAAATACTTCAGTATCACCATAAAGATATGTTATCTCTTCCATATAGTCAACACTGGACTGTTTGTGTGATTACTTCCTCTGTTGACCCTTTGCAGGTCATCCGAGGCGCCATGACGCTTCGGATGACCGAAGTGAGAGAGACTGAAATTGTTTTGCCAGTTTATTGTACTTATTCAAATCAAGATAATTTGTCTTAAAGTAAAACAAATTGAAAGAAGAGGTTTTTGCAAAAGTTGTAAACAGCTGGCTTAGAAAGCGACCCGAACCTGCTCCCTCCTGACGCGTTGATCAAATTACTGACTTCACCTGAAGTTGTGTATCAAAATTACACGTTTGGTTTCTGTCCTTGTCGGTTTGTGCAGCTGACCGCTGAGGCCCTGTGACCATTTCAAAGTGAAATCAACTAAACAGAAGCGATATCAGGTCACATATGTCTGTTTTTTTTTTGTTTGTTTGTTTTTTTTTGACTAGCTTTAAATGAAGCAGTTGCTGTTTTGACGTTCATCATGCCGGAGTTCTGTAGAGTGTGACTCCTGCTAAAGGTCAATACTGAAGTTTACTTGACTCTTTAAGATGATAAAATTTAGCTTCCTAGCACCTCACTGGTGCCCACCTGTATCAGCAAACAGTTTATAAAATGTGTGGTTGTGGAAGCTGCAAAAATCTAGAGTAGCCTAAATTTAGTAAAGCTACTCTTTTTAGAAACCTCTGCAGTGCGACTCAGAAAGTGTTACTTCCTTATCTGTTTTCTGAAAGTTACTCAAATTAAAACTGCAACCACTGCAGTTTTCAGGTTGATGTTATTTCTCCTTTACTTGCTCAAAATTCATATCTTAAAAGCTCAACTTTCATAACTATGAATTGGAAAGTCGTCGGCATTAATATGTACAAATCAGTTGGTGGGTGTCTGAGTCTCCTTTTCGTTTTGTTTACCTGCAGTGAACCACGGTTGGTGCTTTGCTCCCTTCACTCTCTATGTGTTTCCTCACAAGTCCTCTGAAACGAATCAGGACTTCTGTGCCCTGAGGTACTCCATGGTCAGGCCAGGCAGTGAAGTGGAAATGCTTCACCATCCGTTCCTCTGCATCCTTCGTCTGCATAAAATAAGTTATATTTATGCATTTAAGAGGTTATAACAGGTCAATGTTTAACTATAGCCAATAAAAATCCATATTTAATATAAGCAACATAAAAAAACTGTAAGAAGGGGTTATGCGGAGAGGTATTGAGCAGTCAGTATCTTTCCTTTAGTAAGAAGTAGTTTAAAGTTTACAGAAACAATTTGAAATTTAACAATTTGAAATTTTCAAATAAAAAAAAAATACAAGATGACTTGGAAAAATAATAATTTTTTAAAATTTAAGTGGAGAATTTTTAAACTTAGTTTTAAGTCAATAATTTGTTGGTGCGTCATCAATGATCTTCCTGTGTGAAACACATACTCTTCAAAACTGCTAAATTATGTTCCTAAACACCAGCAATATTTTCTCTTTCTATACCTCTACATGTTTTACACAGGGAAATAAATCGTTGGTGTTTACATGGAAATATATACAATTGCAATGCAAACTAGTTGAAGGTTTAAAGGTTCATAAAAGGGAATATTTACATACACAGCTGTAAAATTTTTGAGGCTGTAGTTATTTTTAATTTGCATCATTTTGGCCGCTAACTAGCCATTAGCTTCTAGCCCTTGTGTTCACTTGCAACCTTTTAACAGAAACTCATCTCAGACATTTCAAACTGTCCCTTTATGTGAACGCTGTTTTGCTCATTTTTATTCTGTATTTTCATGAAGCATTTTCTCTGACTGGGTTACTAAAGTTAATTGTTTATGTGTTTTACATGGAGGGCTATTGCTAGCAGGTAACGTGCTAACACCGTCTTAATTTTAAATAGGTCAGACTACTTAAATTACTATTTAGATAAAAAATGAACTGAAGGAAATGATTTGCACTGACTTTCTTTAGGTTTTGAAATGTAGGAGATTTTATTTACATGTTTCAGTTTAAACTCCCTCAGGACCCAGTTGGACTCTCTCTGCTCAGACGTTTTGGAGACAATCAGATCCCCATGAGTTGAAGGGTTCGGGCCTTCAGGCCAGTATTGCTCACATTTGGTCTGCAATGAAAAAACACACACACAAAATGACCATGGTGCTTTTTCTGATACTGCATTGGTTTGCTTCAGGCTCACATATCAATTTAATCACCAAATATCAAAAGAAACAAAAGATTTGCACACTGTAAAACATCTGAGTTGTGTTTACTATCTTCTACTCTTTATGTCAAGTCAATTTAAGAAGTTTTAGATTTTATAAAGTTGAATAAACAGTTTTTAGATTAGCACTTAAAAAACAAAGAAGAAAAAGAATGGGAACTATTTCCCAGAATGCTTAGCAGCATGTTTCTGTCTCCCGAGATGGAAGTGCGTTATATTGATCTGACTCTTGTGTTATTAAGGCAAATGTTTATTTTAGTGCAGCTGATAGGATGATGTATCACACTAAATGTTTCTGAGCTGAATTCATTGAGATGTTTAATAAAATTCATCATCAGATCAAAAATTTGGTTCATGGGATTTGAAACTAGAATTTAAATGATTCTAAAGTAAAATAAGTTGTTATTTAAACTTGATATTGTGAGTAAAATAATAGAGAAATGTGTCTCCTTAACTGTGTGAGGCCAGTTTTGTTTTTTAGTTTAACTTGCAGCATTAATTTAAAACTCACAATTCAAGATTAATGAACTTAAAAAACAATGTTCAGACAATTTGTCTCTTGTTGTTAAATCAACTTCATGAACTTCAATTTATGAATTAAAACCGAAACTATTTTCTTGTTGACTTAAATTTCATTTTCAAGGCAGCAGGTGGATTTTATTTTCACATTAAACCACCTTCAAATGTTTTACAGTGCATCTTTTTCTTTCGTTTTAGGTTTAAACGTCCCTAATGTTTCTCCGTAGAACATTTTTCAGCAAACATACCCGTCCTGCTTCAACGCAGTTGGTAACCATGACTATTCTCTTGACTTTTTGCTCCCAAACCATCCTCCAGAAATCAGCCAGCGTGTTGGGCAGAGGACCCTGGCAGGCGATGTACTCTCTGCTGCTGCTGTAGCCCTGAGAAAGAAGAACTTCATTAAGCTTTCATACATGAACATCAATGTCAACATGAACACACAGAAAACAACACATTTCCTCTGACACTTCTCTGTAAACCCATCGCGCTTATCAAACTTCTGCTTTCTGATCGAAGCTCATGGATCATCAATTTTATGTCAACATCCTTCTTAACGATTTACTATAAGCAAGGCATAATACCAAGATAAGATTTATTAATGACAACATGTGATCCGGTCCTGATTCAAACAAAGAACACAATGATTAGGAGAACTGAAGCTTATAAATAGAGCAGAAGTCATTAGGAAAGCAAAGGTCAACCCACACCTGTAAATGCAACTAAATGCCCAGAAAACGCCATGTAAAAAATGCTATAAACAAATAAAAGACATATTTGTTGGGGTGATGATTACATAATAACACAAGAGGCATAATAAGATTTTAGCTTACAGTGATTTGATTATTTTATGACCACATCTGCTGAGAGACCTTGAGAACAAAGCTACAGCAATGAGGAAGGCGACTGCTAAGATGCCGTAAAAAGAATAGAAGGAAGTTACCAGAAAAGCTCTATGATTAACAGTTTACCACAGTTCAAAGTCTAATATATAACCTCCTACAAACTGTAACTGCTGCTGTAGTTTGGACTTTGGAGTTAATAAGTTTTTGTCTCATCTACCAAGATTAGAATATGCTGTGGAAAATGGAATCGAGATTATTTTATTAAAGCTCTTGTGATTTGATCCCTCAGTTATCTTGTTCTGTTTGTTCCATCAACTTCCTCCTTTTAGATTTTTCTACAGCTTTATGACTTATGATCACGCCACTCTGGGTTTGGTGAAGCTTTTCTCTTCAGTCCTTTGAAGCAACTTTTATTATTCACTGCTACATATCAAATTTAACACTAACAGCATTGAAATTAAAGTTTAACCATAGAGTAAATTCCTTTATTTGTTTCCTTATGTACATATGTTAACTCCAGCAGGTGATTCGTTGTCTCGCTCTGCAGACTTTGTACAGTTTGTTACAAAATTATCAGAATGCAAGACAACATGAAATAGGAATAAAACATTACAAAAACCCAACTAATAAACGCTTCAGCTTTATGAAAGCAAACTTTAAATCACGATCTGGCGCATTAGGATTCACGGTTCAGTTACCAAAGTGTAAAACTGCTTCCTCTTACAAAACTCACTCAAAATAAGACGCATAGAGCGCATCTGTGTATTCTCTCTCTGCTGTTATTTCTTCTACTTTGAGGGGATATTTGTGCATTTTATAAAACAGATTTATATCTCTGTTTTGCTGACCTTTCACCTTTCCCACATTTTGTCGCATTGCAACGATTAAACTCAATGTTTTTTGTTCAGATTTGAAATATCCTTCAAAGTAAGAGCTAGTTGAGCCCAAAACTCCAAACTGAAAACTTTTATCATCCAGTTTTTGGTAGAAAGAGAAAAATATTGAGTTTGTTTTTAATTTATAATGCGATTAATTGATGGATTGATTATTGTGACAGGCCTTTCTATAACCTTCACCTCTGTCTTTTCTGAATTATGTTGGAAATTCTGACTCGTCCTCCAATAATGAGACAGACATAAAAAGTTTTGTGTCATCAGCATATAGTAAGAGAAGTTGCTGTGCTCCACAGAAGTATATAGTGTCCCAAGAACGGAGCCCTGAGGAACGCCACATGTGATTCTCATAAGCTGAGGTTATAAAACATAGTTCAGTTACTATGATAACATGGTTACAGTCATACTTACTGGTAAGTAATTAGCATTTATGTAGTCCAAGGTATCGTTTGGAGTTGATGTATTTAGTTTCACTCGACTCCAATCATCTAGCGGGAGAATGAAAACGTGATTTAAAAAAAAAAAAGATGAAATGCCACAGAAACACCAACAGGAACACGATGGACTCACAAGGAAGGATGTTGGTGAAGCGGTTCTTCCCTTTGTTTTCTGGCAGAGTCGCAGCTTTTTGGGTTTGGTTTGTGCCAGCAGGAGCGAGGGACTGAGTGGAAGCAGAAAACGAAACACCATGAAATGAAACGAGCAACTTCTGCTCCACAGAACGACAGAAACTTCATCTGGAAACGTAACGGAGGAGATAAAAACCTCATATTCCTGACTGAAACCTCGGTTTTCATCCAAACTCAGCTGGTGGTAGTGGTCTGGGAATTTGGCTGCAGGGATGAGTCTGAAACAAAACCAGTAGAAATGTTAGTTTAATTTGATAAACTTGGTTATTTTTAGGCTGATTTCCTCTGAGCGTTGAGTTTGGAGATAAGGAAGCTCACACTCACTTCCCCTTTGACTCTGGCTTTTTGGATCCAGGGAGGAAAGACTTTTTTCTGCTACGGGAAGAGAAACCAAACATTAATTGATGTGATTATTAACTTTATGGAGGTAATTAGTGGTGTGACAGAGGAAGCACCAACCTGATAATATTTGGCTTTTTAAGGAAAAGAAATACAACGACACAGATGAGAAGAGCAAAAAGCAGAACACCGGCCACAGATCCTCCAATGACTCCTGCAAGGATCCATTTAATAGATCAGAGAAGTTATAACTTATAATAATAAGTTATTATTATTAACAGAAAATGTGTATTTTTGCTCACCTCTGTTATCAGTGGAGCAGATAAAAACAAATGGTTCAGATCTTAAGGGATCAGCTTCTGTTTCCAGCTTTGAAATCACAGAGACTTTATACGTTTTGGCCGGTTGAAGTCCGTTCACAATGAGCTCATTGTCATTTGGATGAAAAGTGAGAGTTTTTCCGTTTATGTTGAGCTCAGCTGCCGTCCACACACCAACCGGTTCGTCCCATTTAACCAGAGCGCTGTAGCCAGAACCCCAGTAGCTGCAGGCTGGAGCTACAGAAGGAGGAACTGGGAGGAAAGAGCCAGAAAATTCATCAGAAACAATAAAAACAATAATTATTGATTATTCAGATTCATAAAATATATTCAGTTTTCCTCAAACACACAGGTCTGATAAAATGTGCATCACATCCTTAGCTTTTATATTATGTCACTTTTTAATTAAATACCTTCATATTTCTAACTAAATGATGGTTAAAACAGTAAAACCATTTCCTGGGAGTTAATTTTAGTGGTTTGCACTTACTGATGGGTATCTTGATGCTACACTGTGGATAAAGTTGAGACGATGTTTGATACTGCAGAGAAATCTGATATGTTGCTCCAGGAAAGAGACCAGAAAATTTCACGTTTTTCCCTTCAGGACTGATGAGAGTTTCAGATCCATTAGAGGCCGAAGCTTTGGAGAACAAGCCTTCAACTGTTCCCTGGGATGATGAGTTGGTGACACTCCAGGATACGGCACTGCAGTCGATTTCTGGAATGTAAAAAGGATTTTAGCTCCTTTGCTTCTTTAATTCAACACAGAACTGCAGCAGAAAAGGTTTCCTGTGTCTCCTGCCTGTGTACCTACGTGTTAATGTGTGATCGGTGTAAGCAGAACTCTTCAGTCCAGAGAACTCTGTGATCACGCTGAACTGATACATCGTCCCAGGCTGGAGGTTGGAGATCCTATATGACACAACATTTGTCCTCGTCGTCTTCTGGGTTATAGATGCGTTTGTGTCATTAACACTCAGGATGTGTTTCCAGGCTTCATTGGGATTCTCCCACTCTAAAGTTACTCTGTCCACTAAACGCTCCGAAACTCGGACCGACGTCACACTGAGAGGAACTGAGGAAACACAACAGGACAATGACCTGTCATCACTTTAAAACACATGATTAATAAACTCTTTGTATAAAAATCAACTCATCCAACTAATGTGATAATAAATTTTAAATCTGTTGACATGGAGATCTTGAAGAATCAGTGATTCATTGATTATTTGTTTATATGGTAGATGATGCCTAAACAAAGCAAATCCAGACATATTATTTTCATTGTTTTTGCTTTTTCAAATGGGACAAAGATCCTGACGTCAAATCTGGTCCTTCTTTCAAACTAAGGACCAAATCTGCAATTTATTCACAGATCATATCTAAAATATATTTCAAAATGCAGCTTTGGATTTTTAGAAACCAAGACGTAAAGCTATCTGATATATTAGTAGGTGGCGTTTGCAAAGCAGCCAATCACAGAGCCCTATTTATATTCGTTGGCACTAATGAATCACCGATATCTGAGCAATCGTACCAGGCAGTTATGTTTTTAAATTGATAGTGGAGGATTTCACTTATTTCTACACATTTGTTGTTCATAACTTCTGAGAATTCAAGAGTTAAAGAAACTAAAAGATATAACTCTTGAATGATCAAGTTTGCTATTTGGTCACAGTTTATATCTAAAGTTATGACATCATCACCAACCTGTAGCAGAAGAGAATAAGAATCCAGAGCTGTTGACTCCATTGGCCTCAGTGAAAACAGTGAAACTATATTGTGTCCCAGCAGTCAGACCAGGAACCACATATTGAACAACTGCATCTGTATTATTGATGTCCTTAATGACAGGAACTCCATTTTCTTCATATTGCAGTTTGTATGTTGAGATGCCATCAACTTTGTCCCACTGCAGAGTTAAACTGTTAACACTCTGGGTCACCACTGAAACACTTTCTACATTTACAGGAGCTGAAAACCAAGAACAGTTTCTATCAAATGGTTGCTTATTTTAATAAATCCATCAATTTCTTGCTAATGATAATAAATCACCAACCTGTAGCAGCAGAGTATATGAATCCAGAGCTGCTGACTCCATTGGCCACAGTAAAAACAGTGAAACTATATTTTGTCCCAGCAGTCAGACCAGAAACTACATATTGTACAAATGTTTCTCCAGTAGCATCACTGATGTCCTTAATGACAGGAGAACCATTGACTTCATATTCTAGTCTGTATGTTGAGATGTCATTAACTTTGTCCCACTTCAGAGTTATGTTGTTAACACTCTGGGTCTCCACTGAAACATTGGCTACATTTTCAGGAGCTGAAAACAGAGAGGAAACATAAACATCTGATGAAAAACTGAAGTTTATAACAAAAAATAATTTATTGTGAAATATATTTTACTGATATTCCTAGATGGCTACTAATCTCAGTCCACTTTTTCCTCACATTAATCACATTAATATTCACTGATCACCAACCTGTAGCAGCAGTGAATATGAATCCAGAGCTGTTGAGTCCATTAGCTTGAGTGAAAATAGTGAAATTATATTGTGTCCCAGCAGTCAGATCAACAACCACATATTGTACAAATGTTTCTCCAGCAGCATCACTGATTTCCTTCATGACAGGAACTCCATTTTCTTCATATTCCAGTTTATATGTTGAGATGTCATTAACTTTGTCCCACTGCAGAGTTATAGTGTTAACACTCTGGGTCACCACTTCGACTTTTACTACATTTTCAGGAGCTGAAAAGCAAAGAGGAAACAGAAACATCTGAATTAATGAGTTAATCTGAGGATATTTTTACTCTCTGCAGGATTAGGTTTGAAGGGATTTATTATTTTACCAATACGTTCTTCTGAGTTGAAGGAAAATTGATATTTGAAAAGGACATGAATTCATGAGGGTGATGGCAAAGAGGCCTTCCATCCTCAAAGATATGGAGATCAGAACCACAAATAAATTGTTGAAATATGACAGAAAGTGTTCAATGCAATTACACTGAGAGTGAAAACAGATTAAAGTTTCACACTATATTCATACATGTGTTGATGTCGTCTGATTTGATTTGATGTCAATTATTGAACCTGAGGGATTTTAGTAAGTGTTGTTTTTGTGCCTGAATAATTTCTGTAATCTCTTCCACCTTTTGTCTCATTTACTATCATAAATCACCAACCTGTAGCAGCAGAGAATGAGAATCCAGAGCTGCTGACTCCATTGGCCTCAGTGAAAACAATGAAACTATATTGTGTCCCAGCAGTCAGACCAGAAACCACATATTGTATAAATGTTTCTCCAGCAGCATCATTGATGTTCTTAGTGACAGGAGAACCATTGACTTTATATTGCAGTCTGTATGTTGTGATGTCATTAACTTTGTCCCACTTCAGAGTTATACTGTTAACACTCTGGGTCTCCACTGAAACACTGGCTACATTATCAGGAACTGAAAACAAAGAGGAGACAGAGACAAAAAATAAACTGATTACATATTTATTCATATTTTTAATGTAAACAGCTTTGAAGTAAGAATGTCCTTTTATCAGAGATGAGTTGAAGCAATATTTATGCTTTGGAGTCAATATTTAATCCTCAATATTAGGATTAAAGCAAAGAAGCCTTCTGACCTCAGTGGATTTAATTATAAAAATATAAATTGTAACATGCAAAAAGCTGGTCAACAATTATAAAAACAGTTTGATTAGTTATGTTTACATAGTTTGTTGAACTGGCTTTTGAGTTCACTAGTAAATACTAAAAATGCAAATAAAATAAAAAGATATTCTATTGTTTTAAATCAATACTTCTGACACTGTAGATACAATTTTAAATATTTTAAGGCGGTCTGTCTCATTTCCTGTCAGAAACCAAATTCTTGGCTGAACAAATTAATCATTTTAAATCTAAATGTATAAGTTGAATCATTGTGGCGAAACAATGTAACTGATTAAAAACTGGTTAAATTGAGATTTGATGTGAACTAAGTTAAACATGTGAGGTTAATTAGTTTTTGTTTTCAGTGACCAACTAATATTATTTCAATCCACCTTTTGTCTCTTTAACAATCATAAATCACCAACCTGTAGCAGCAGAGAATGAGAATCCAGAGCTGCTGACTCCATTCAACTCAGTGAAAACAGTGAAACTATATTGTGTCCCAGCAGTCAGACCAACAACCACATATTGAACAACTGCATCAACATTATTGATGTCCTTAATGACAGGAACTCCATTTTCTTCATATTGCAGTTTGTATGTTGAGATGCCATCAACTTTGTCCCACTTCAGAGTTATAGTGTTAACACTCTGGGTCACCACTTCGACTTTTACTACATTTTCAGGAGCTGAAACCAGAGAACACACAGGGACCATTTAAAAAAGACAGAAAGTCAGATCTGCACAGTGAAATTAAACCATTCAGAGAAGAATATTGATCATTAACTGTGGATAAAAAGAAGTTTATGCTCTGGATGCAATGACTGATCAACTTGGAATGAAAGAAAATAAATCAAGTAGCAGCAGTGTGTAGAGGCTGACTCCACTGGCCACAGGAAATGAAAAGAGTGAAATTATATTGTGTCCCAGCAGTCAGACCAGAAACCACATGTTGTATAAATGTAGCTCCAGAAAAATCACTGATGTCCTGGGAGACAGAACCTCCATTGACTTTATATTCCAGTCTGTATGTTGAGGTAAAGTCAACTTTGTCCCACTGCAGAGTTATAGTGTTAACACTCTGGGTCACCACTGAAACACTGGCTACATCTACAGGAGCTGAAGACAGAGAGAAAACAGAAACATTCTGAATTATTTATTCTGATTGAACTATGTACAAAATGGAGGTGATGCTCCAGAGTGATTATCTTGTGATGAGATGAAACTCACAAATCACCAACCTTTAACAGCAGAGAATGAGAATCCAGAGCTGCTGACTCCATTCAACACAGTGAAAATAATGAAATTATATTCTGTCCCAGCAGTCAGACCAGGAACCACATATTGAACAACTGCATCTGCATTATTGATGTCCTTAATGACAGGAACTCCATTGACTTCATATTCCAGTTTATATGTTGAGATGTCATTAACTTTGTCCCACTGCAGAGTTAAACTGCTGTTGTTCTGATTCACCACTGAAACATTATTGACATTTTCTGGAGCTACAAAATAAAGACAGAGTTTACAGTTGCAGTCAATTATTGGTTAATAAATTCAGCTATTTCAAAATTTGTTAATGTTAATGGAGAAAAATCACCAACCTGTAGCAGCAGGAAATGATAATCCAGAACTCTTGACTCCATTGGCCTCAGAGAAAACAGTAAAACTATATTGTGTCCCAGCAGTCAGACCAGGAACCACATATTGAACAAATGTTTCTCCAGCAGCATCACTGATGTCCTTCATGACAGGAGAACCATTGACTTCATATTCCAGTTTATATGTTGAGATGTTATTAACTTTGTCCCACTGCAGAGTTAAACTGCTGGTGTTCTGATTCACCACTGAAACATTGGCTACATTCCCAGGAACTAAAAAGAGGAGACACTTTAGAAAAGCTAAATGTGACTTATAAACAATAATAATACTTTCCATACTAACCAGGTTCTTTGGGTTCTACTGATGAAGTTCCTATTGGTTCTGCTGTCGTGGAGTTCACTGTTACAACCTGAAACATGAAGATAAATAAACTAAAAACACATTAAAGATGCTGGAGAACTATTTGACTGTCAACAGCATGAACTCCAGTTATCACAGTTTACAGCAGTTTATATAAATACTTTTTCCAAAGATGGTGGTTTGAAATACGTCCTGCCCTCCCTTCCTGTTATTATTATGTTTCTGAACATCAAACTAATTAAATATCAACCAAAGACAACACAAGTAAACACAAAATGCAGTTTTTAAATGAAGATGTTTGTCATTAAAGGTGAAAAATCCAAACCTAGACAAATGATCGTTCCTGATATCTGATTGGGTCACACTGAGTACCAGCATCTGCAATCAGGTGTTTGTGATAAACTTAATCTTTGCTGAATTGTTGTAATTCAGCCTTAATGGAAGTTTTCCCAGCATGAACGTCCTTTTTGAGGTCATTTTAATGTCAGTACTTTGACTAGGCCACTCCAAAGTCTTCATTTTGTTTGTCTTCAGCCTTTCAGAGTTGGACCTGCTGGTGTGATTTGGGTCTCAGATCTTAGTGCTGCCCCCACTGGTTGCTACAACAGACATTAGTTATGATGGGTGCATCTTTTTATCTGCCCCTTCTTAACCTGATGCCCCAATCAGTCTGGAGAGGGTAAATCTGAAGGTCACATGACCTTCTGTTGCTCTGGGCTCCTGTCTATTCTAGTATCTTACAATTTAAAGTTTTTTTCTCCATTTAATTTCACTGAGACGTTTCTACACAGATGGTCAATCAATGCACTGTAAAACATTAGAAGGTGGTTTAACTTCAAAATAAAATTTAATTCAACAGGAAAATTATTTTGGTTTTAACTCAGAAATTAAAGTTCATGAAGTTGATTTAACAACTAGAGACAAATAGTCAAAACATTGTTTTTAAGTTAATTAATCTTGAATTGAGAGTTTTGACTTAATGCTGCAATTTAAACAAAATAGTAAATAGTTCCCACTCTTTTTCTTATTTCAGTTTTTAAGTGCTAATCTAAAAACTCCAGTTTATTCAATAAAAAAATAAACAAGTTTCTGCTGTAAGTTTTTCTTTCACGAACTAAAACATTCAGGTTCAAAATCTAAAACTCGACAAATTTATTTGACTTGAAGAGAAGAAGACAGTAAACACAACTAAATGCGTCTCAAATGTTTTACAGTGTAGAGTTTCCTTTACACTGTGGAAATGTTCTCACTTTCACTATCAAACAAATTACAATTCATCTTCTGTTGAAACTCATTTGTCATATTAGAAATACCTTTTGAAAAAACCTTTAAGCATATTTTTTATTAAATTGATGTTCCTGTAGAAATATGATTTTTCATTGTCCTGATGTAATATTTTAATCTCTGCTGTGAATAAAAAAATCATTTTATTTACGAGAAATGAAGGCTTGAAAAATCTGTCTTTGTGAAATCAGTTACTGAAATAATCTTTTCATTATATAACAACTTCCTGAATGGGTTTGTAGCTGTGAGTTTCTGTTTTATTTGATTCACTTCATTCCAACAAAAGTTGCACCAGCTGCTGATTATGATCATTTCTGCCGTTTCAACAATAGTTCCTCACATTTCTTAGTCTTTAACAGTGTTGGAAACTATTTTATTCATTTTAGTAGCTCCAGAAATCTCCTCAGACGTTTAGTTTGCTGGATGTCTGTCAGTATTTCGACCCGTTTTCAACAGACTCATATCTTCTCTGGATCTCTTTACTTCGTTGTTTAAGAAATGAGAAGCTGTTATTCAACCCCAGCTGCATCTTCGACAGCTGAAAGATAATCATCCATGTATTTATTAACTAATTTGCTTCTTAAATTCAACTTTTTTTTGGTTTTTTTACAGGCAAAGTGTACTTTTGCTTCTCCAGCGATGACTATCTTGAGTCCCTCTGTGGTTAACACTGTTTCCTTTTGTTGAGGTTCTGTGTTTTTTGCACAGATCATCATCTGATCCAGTAAATGTAAAGGTGATACAGAACTTACCCAAAGCAGACTGAAGGAGCCGTAGAGTAACAGGAGGCCTGATGTGGATCTGAGTGATAAAAGCTCCATCTTTGCCATTGATTATTGTCCTTATTCTCATGTGAAGATGCAGAGGCTCCTCTCCGCTGTCAGATCAACCTCAGCTCTTCCTGTTTGGCCACCTCATGTGTTGACTGAAACAGCAAATTTCCCCCAGCTTGCTGCTGATTCAGTGCAGTAATAAATCCAGTGTTGACTTTTAATTCCTAACCAGGTCCTCCTTTTGTAACCTCTGGTCCCTTCTCTTACTCACAAGTGACACAGTAAATAACTGCTTCTCCTTTTTAGACTTGTGTGAGCTCGGGGACCTTTGCCCCGCCTGGCACTTCCTTATTAACGGTTATAGTTGCTGCTTTCAAGGGGACATCGATCAGGCAGATTTGCCTGCTTTGCAGGTTTATTAATGTTGATTGCTTTTTATCAGCTGTAACCGTCCGCTTCACGGTTACGACCGGCCGAATCCTTAAATCATCAGTAAATAAACCTCTATGGACGTCTTGTAACGTTTCAATCTTTACTTCTGTAAAATGTTCGTCTGAGCTGATTTTGTTTAAGATTTTGTCTCTGCCTCCTTCTCTGTTTGCAGTTTCAGCGAGTTGTGATATTTATGGCTTCCTTGCGGTTTGGACCTATAAGGAACTGCAAATTGAAAATGTGAAAGGCAGAGCGAAAGTCCAACCCTGTTTATTGAACTAACACATTTACTTGGCCTCAATAAAAGCTTCACAAAGAGCAAAGAGCCTTTTTAAAAAGCCATCTGACCACAGGGGAAACATGTGAAGGAAGTATCCTTCCTAAATGATCATTTTCCACAACCATTAATGATAAAACTTTACAACAGAACTTTAATTATCTTCCGTGTTTCAAACAGAGCGCACCTTGTTTCAGACACTTTCATAAAGACGATGTATTCAACATTCATGCTGGATTATAGGATTTATTGATACAAATGTTTATTAGTTGGTTTTTATAAAATTTCGAGGCTGTCATGTTCAATGAACATTGATGAACGAGTGAAGCAGTCAAAATGAACGATATTTAATAACTGTATTCATTTAAACACTGCTTCAGTTCCAACTTCTGCCAAAACAAAAAGGCATTTCTGATTAATTCTGTAATTAAAACAATTTTCTGACAGCCATTCCTAAAACCTAAAAAAAGTTGAGTTTTTAATCCTGTTTCCATGATGATGTGGAATAAACAAACAGATTACTATGAAGAATGAAATTAATCACTTTGGGGAAAAAACGTCCAGCGTTGCTAAATGAGGAAAGTCCAGAAGTTCCTGAAATCGTGTGGAAGTATAATTTACTTAATCAGGTCATGTTAACTAACAACTTGTTGTATAAGGAAGAAATAAGTAAGAATGATAACATTTCATTTACTAATTAACATTTCACGCAAAATTACTTTTGTTTTATTTTCCTTTCTTTTTAAGACTATGGGCTAAAGGTTTGTAACCTTTTCAAGCTAATCCTAAATAATCCAGAGTCAATAAATATAGACATATCTCCAAATGTTTGAATATTGTAAAATATTTATATTTTATTTCTTTGTTTAGAAAGTGAAACTAATATGTAGATTCATCACACATTTATTACAAACTGATTCTCTAAGATTATTAAATAAAGATTTTCTTTTAATTCGACATAACTGCTTGGACACCTGCTGACATTACCACCCAGCAAAGGTCAAAGGTCATAGTTAATGAAGTGAGTTGATCAGAGTATCCAAGCATATCAGTGGAAAGTTGAGTCAAAGTAAAAAGTGTGGCAGCATGGAATTAGATTGTACCAATAAATTATAATAACAGAGAAATTTGTGTCAGACTGACACATTATTTTAATGTTTGCAATATAAAAAGAAACACTAGAGGGCAGCATTCCTCTGTACAGTTTAATCCTCTCTCCACACTAAAAAAAAGAAAACAGGTGATCCAATTTAAAAAAGTAAGTCATCAAATTAAGTTTATCCAAATAACTATATTTAAGTTTATTAGGTTGTCATGTTCAATAAATGTAAGTAAAACAAGTTTGACAAACTTAATTTGATTATATATAGTAAATGAAGTCAATCTTTTTAAGTTAGAACTTCATTTTTTTTAATGCAACATAAAAAAAAGTAATTTTGGCTTTTTAAAAATAATTGTAAAGTATTTTACTTTAAATAGAAAGCAAGTAAACTGACAGACTGACAAAGTGAAACATCTCAGACTGAAAATAACTCAAATGCTTTTATTGTACTTAAATATGGAAGCCCGTTTCTGCCACTCTGTTAAAAAAATTATCTCATTATAATGAGATAAGATCTCAAAAATAATGAGATCACTATTTCGAAATTAAACAAAACTTAAAAAATATTACTCTAATCAATTGCACCACTAGATGTCACTGTTTTATTCATGTCAAATTTCAAATTTGAAGCTCCACTTATACAGTGAATATTGTCATTTTCTGAGAAAGAAATATCTGAACACATTCAATAATTATATGAAATAGTATCTCATTATAATGATTTTTTAACAAAGTGGTGGAAACTGGCTTCCATAGTTAAATGTTTACCTTATATCAGATTATTTTGTTATTTATATAACCCAAGTTTGCTTCAAGATAGAATTTTTACATTTCAATGGTTTGTGAAAACTTTTCTTTTTTATTTTGCTGCATTTTATTGTGCTACAAAACCAATACTGAAAATATTCAAGAGCAAATTTTGACAGTAAAAATGCATTTTAACACAAGGAAACAAAAAACAGTGATTAAAATGATAGATTGTTTTATTCTAAAACAATTACTGGGGCTGCGTTCACTCAATGATTTCATTTCTTTTTTTTTTTTTTTTTTTTTTGTGGTCGTTCACACTTCCATAAGCGATTGGAAGGAGATCTCCAGTGTGAACTGCAGACGACCATGATCTGATCTCTGACCTCTTGCTCAGACTGTTGTAAAAAGATTAGACTCAGGTCGCATTAAGGCACAAAACTGGTATTAAATCACTTCAGTCTGCAGTGTGAACGCAGCCCAAATGTGATGAATAACATTTACTAAATGTTATTCAGGATGAGGAGTCACCTCTTCCTCACTAGTGGCATCAAACCAACAAACAGCCAACGCTGCACCACTTCCCCGCTGAGCCTCTGATGTTTTCAATCTGTGGTTTTGATTTCCTGTAAATCTAATCCTGTACTGAGAGTTTGTCTGTGGTTAGTTTCGCTTTGATGTTCTGTTTTATTTATTTTGTATTAACTTTCTATTAAATGTCTATTGTTTTGTGCTAATCAAGGAGCTAAGGCATTGTTCTTGTGTGTTAAAGATAATATTTCAAATTCAAGATATTTTGTTGTATTTTGTCCCTTGGAGTCTCTGAAGTTTATTATTCGGTAAGTTGAATGAATATAAAATCCCTTTTACTGAGTTTTGTAGTTCTGAGTAACGTTTCTTACATAAATATGTTGAGATTTTTTATCAAATTTAAGTCTTTTTTTTGGCCACCCTTCCTAAATTGGCTCCATAATTATTAAAGTTGGGAGGAAGGAAATGTACAATTTCACAAAATATTTTTTACAGTACAAAATTTATTAAACATTTAGTATAAAATAATCACATCTTGACAAGAGGTGTGCATGATACATGTTTTGGTATCGATCTGATAGCAAGTAAATCACCAATACCGATACCGATACTGATACCAATACTGATACTGATACTTTTTATTATTTAAGTTTGTCTTAATAAGCTTCTGACCTATTTTATAGTTTTTCTTTTTAAATGCTAAGACAGAATTTGGAAAAAGTTGATAGGCATCTACAAAATACTTTAACATCAACACAATAAACGGGAAAATAAACTAATTTGTGTATCTCACAATATCTTCTTTTAAGGCAGAGATAAAAAATACAAAAATAAAATAAATTTCAACAGAAAATTTGAAACCAAAGAGTACATTTTAATATCTATCCAATACTAATACCGACTTGGTATCGATATCATCAAAATTTTTATCAATCTGTCCAAAGAACTGGTTTACTATTATCTATATTATCTACCAGTGGAATGAAACCAGTTTTGTGTTAAATAATTTCTTCCAGCTGGATGGTGTTGGCGTACATCGTGTCGTCGTTCTCATAAATGTGTTCCTCCTGCGCCGCGCCCGGCTGCAGGCGGTCCATGATGCACTGGTGCAGAAAAATGTACTGCGACTGGAAAGGAAATCAACAAAATGTCTCATTATTTAAACACAACCTCTTGCAACGTGTCAATTTGACATTATTATAAACAGAACAGCTGAAAATTACTCTAAAGTAAACTGACCTTTGTAATTTAGAGGAAAAAAATAAAAATAAGAAGCTTTAAGGTCGTACAAACTCTCTTTGTTTCTCATGTAAGCCATCACTGATAAAAACAAGAAGTTTTTATCATATTTAAAATCTCTGGATTAAAAAGTCTTGATTTGACACACAAGGGTAAAATGGGCAAACACTTTTTTCCACAACTTATCTCTTTGGTTTATTTTGCTTCCATAGTTATCCTGAAGCAGCAGAAAGCAGTTTTACCTCCGTCTGCACCATGTGTGATCGATGTCGCCTCATCCTGTGTAAAAAGTCCTTGATGCCGACAGCTTGTTGTTTCTCCAGCTGCTGCAGCAGGAAGTCCAGAGCGATGAAAGTTCCCGTTCTTCCCACTCCATCACTGCAAAGAAACACAAGCAGCTCTGACATGTTAAACTGCAAATAATCCACTTTTTTATTCCGAACTAAACAGGTGAGTCATGTTTCATAAGGGGAATTTACCTGCAAATGTTTTCTCCATCGATACAACAAACTATTAGGGTTAGAGTTAATTTTCTGAGCGCAAATGTCCAAAAATTTTAACTTTTCAAACACAGAAATGATCTGAACTTTGTGTGAATTTTATTTTTTTCAGGAATTTTCTCTTAAATTAAGTTAATGCATGAATATTTACATCTTTTGCCTAAAGTACCAAAAATTCAAAAGATTGGATTGAATGAGTGTAAAAACTAAAAATAATGTGCCGTAACATAGTGGCATATTTGCAGGTATATATTTAAAAAATAATCATTTAATCTGAAGTGTTTTGATTAGTTTGGAGCAACAAAACAAAATGAAATATCTGGGTTTATTTAAGTCCATCAGAACCTTGAAATGTTGCAGATAGTTGCTGCAGTCATACAGACCATACTGGGTAATCTGGGTAAACTGGGTGTACCTGCAGTGAACCACAGTCGGTGCCTCTGATCCGTCACTCTCTATGTCCTGCCTCACAATCCTTCTGAACTGGATCAGGACGTCTGTGCCCTGAGGGACTCCGCGATCAGGCCACACAGTGAAGTGGAAATGTCTGACTGATCGTTGCTCTGAGCTTCTTTTCTGCACGGAAACATTAATATTCAATAAAAACATTCAGTGTCTCTTCAAAACACAGAAACTCTACAGAGAAAAGGAGGAGCAACAAACCAAACCAAACCAAAAGAGTTGAGAGTTTTATTGGACTCAACATCAGTATTTAAAGTGAAGTCTTGTACCTGTTTGATGGTAAACTGCCTCAGCGTCCAGTTCTGTTCCTTCAGTTCGGATGTTACAGAGACCAACACGTCTCCATACTGACTCTGCTTCATGTCTTCAGGCCAATACTGAGCACATTTGTTCTACATATAAGAAAAATACATAAAACTTCCATTATTCATGATTAAACTACAGTTTGACTATTCGCTACAATTTGATTACAGTTTAACAAGGAAAGCAACCTATTAACTTTTATTTTGTAATTTAACTTCCTTTAAAATTTGAATAACTTTGTTTTTTTACCCCTCCTGCTTCGATGTGGTTGGTAACCATAACAACTCTCTTCACGCTTTGTTCCCAAATCATCCGCCAGAAATCAGCCACGGTGTGGGGCAGAGGACCCTGCGTGGCGATGTACTCTCTGCTGCTGCTGTAGCCCTGCAGAGACAAGGCTGGTCACTCTGCAGCCTGAAGTGACCCGATTCCGATTTTCATCTGATCGATTCCTGACAGTCAGAGCAAAACATCGGATTTGTTCCAACGGCCACCTGGTTATCGATACGCATCCGATCTTTTAACCGCAGTCTTTCCACCGTATCGCACTGAACGAATGGAACGTCATCGATACTCGACAAACGTCACTATTCTGCGCCCTGATGCGCATAAACAGGAAGAAAAACAACAACCATGGCGGACGATAAAGATGATTAAACTGTTCATGTTCTGGTTTCAGTCGGACAACAACTTCAAAATCTTAAGATATGCTACTCCATTAGCATCTGTGTTTACTTCCGTAAACACTGGGCTCTTCTTCTGCTGTTTTTTTTTTTATTATTATTATCGCGGTTGGAAAATAACTGCGCACTCTCTCTATTGCGCCCTCTACTGCGCATGCGGGACACTTTCACTTCACACTGGAGATCACATACAAGTCGCTTTTATTTGGAAATGTGAACGACCACGGTAAAGAAAGAAAGAAAAGTCAGATTTGACACAAAGTCGGAATTGGGTCACTTCAGGCTGCAGTGTGGACGAAGCCAAAATTTGTTTGTTTTTTCTGTTTTTGCCTCTTTGCAGATCATTGGCTAAATAAAAACTGTTGTATCAGTTCAAGTTGCATTCAGATAAATGTGAATGCACAGTGTTAAGAATTAAAAGAGGAATAACTTGATTTAGCTCGTTAATTCATTCCTCTGATCCCGGATTCTTGAGCCTCAATATGCTCAGTGAGAAAGAGCAATCATATGACGTCAGACTTCAGATATCCAGAGTTTTATCCAGAGAAAATCAATACAAGAAGAATGTTACAATAAGCATCTCACCTAGATTATCAAAAGTCCAAGACATGACAAAACAGAAACAATTACACCAGTTGAAAGTAAAGACAGAAAAATTCATTTTTTCGGAAATTGCGAACTCGGGCAGAAAGCAATTCGAATTCTTTGTTGCAAACGAAAACTTTTATAAGCCTGTGCCTTTCTCTAAAGTTAAATATATGCATTAGGAGGTGTGTTTTTTCCTCGTGGGCCTTCCCATTGATTTTATTACCTCTAAGACCTACTGAAACACCCAGCTCTTCTCGTGCCAGCCTCCTTAGGCGAGACTGATTTACGGCGTGCATCTGGAGCGTTATCTCTGCCTCAAAATGATTCAACAAGAAACCAGTTGGTATTTTTAAACAAACTTGCACAAAACTATTGCTTAATACTAACTATAAGTTTGGATCTAAAACTAACTAATTAAAAACATGCTTTTTAATGCTTAAAGAAATATATTAATATGTTTGATTATATGTTTGTAACAGACTTCTATAGTTTTTAGTGTTTGCCTGAACTATTCAACCCTGAGTAAAGAATTTATTGCCCTGATAGCCAATACACTCCCTGTCTGAAACGCTCCTTAGGGAGTATAAGGCTGCTTTCTGATTAGAAATTTATGTAAGTTTCAGAGAATCACCAGCTGTCCCAGCCTGGATCTTTACTGGAAGTTTGTCTTAACGTAAAAGTTAGCCTGTGTACTATTGTGCTAATTTAAAATTCTATTTCATCAACAGGAAGTTCAACTAATATTTTAAATGAAGGTGCAAACGTCTGAGCGTCTTCAGTCAGACACGTCTTCAGACTCGCTGCAGTACAGACTGCTACAGCAGATACCTTTGCACCAAGAAAACAATGAAATAAGAAAGTTGCTCTAACTGTGACAAGATATTTCCTTAAATATAAATAAAGAAGAAAAGAAACAAATAGAGAAGTTGTACCTAAAAATTGAGTAATTAATATGGACACTTACTGGTATGTAACTGGCATTTATATAATCCATGTCTTTGGGGGCTGATGATGAATTAAGCTTAACTCGACACCAGTCATCTGTTGAGGAGACACAGAAACTCTCGGATGAGAAAAGAAAAGGTGAACATTTCCTAAAACATCTTCAGCTGGTATTTGGTTGTAAACATGGAGCAACAATAAGACCTGAACCCACAAGGCAGGATGTCAAAACGGTTCTTCTCTCTGTTTTCTGGTAGAATCGCTGCCTTGCACGTCTGGCTTGTGCCAACAGAAACGAGAGCCTGAAATTAAATATGACACCATAAAATTAAACTGATGTCTGAAATACATGCATTGTATGAGAAAGAGAAGATTAAATTTATTTTGTGAACCTCATATTCCTGACTGAAGCCTCTGTTTTCATCCAAACTCAGCTGATGGAAGTGGTTTGGAAATTTGTCTGCAGAAACATTTCTGGAAGAAAACAGATTATTATCATTTCATCAATCTGTAAACTTGAAGAAACAAACAAACCATATAACATTTGTTTAGATGAATTTATGATGACAAACTCACTCTCCACTTCTATTTGTTGTTTTGGATCCAAGTCTGAAAGGCATTTTTCTTCTGTAGGAAGATAAAAACTGTATTTTTACAAATATGGAGTTTGAAATGGTAAATTTCATACTTTACATAAGATTGAATAATAGCTCTGTGATTGTGGAAGCACTAACCGGATGCAGTCGGATTTCCTGAGGACTATAAAAGCAGTCGCACAGACTCCAGCAACACAAAGCAGAACACCAACCACTGATCCTGCAATGACTCCTGAAAATATATATTTCATTTATTTATCATTGGACAACACTGGCAGGATGCTCACTTTATTAAATATTACTAGACTTTCATTATTTCTTTTTTGAAAAAATTTGTATAAGTAAAAAATATAATTTTAGGAGCAACGTTCAACAGCTCAGAGAAGTTATAACTTATTAAAGCAAAACAGAAAATGTGTTTTTTTGCCCACCTCTGTTATCAGTGGAGCAGATAAAAACAAATGGTTCAGATCTTAAGGGATCAGTTTCTGTTTCCAGCTTTGAAATCACAGAGACTTTATACGTTTTGGCCGGTTGAAGTCCGTTCACAATGAGCTCATTGTCATTTGGATGAAAAGTGAGAGTTTTCCCGTTTATGTTGAGCTCAGCTGCCGTCCACACACCAACCGGTTCGTCCCATTTAACCAGAGCGCTGTAGCCAGAGCCCCAGTAGCTGCAGGCTGGAGCTACAGAAGGAGGAACTGGGAGGAAAGAGCCAGAAAATTAGGAGTTAATTTTCTTCTACAGTGAAATAAACTCAGACTCGCTTGTCATAAGGTTTTATATATTTACATAAGGTTTTACTGAGTGGTTTGCACTTACTGATGGGTATCTTGATGCTACACTGTGGATAAAGTTGAGACGATGTTTGATACTGCAGAGAAATCTGATATGTTGCTCCAGGAAAGAGACCAGAAAATTTCACGTCTTTCCCTTCGGGACTGATGAGAGTTTCAGATCCATTAGAGGCCGTAGCTTTGGAGAACAAGCCTTCAACTGTTCCCTGGATTGATGAGTTGGTGACACTCCAGGATACGGCACTGCAGTCGATTTCTGGAATGTAAAAAGGATTTTAGCTCCTTTGCTTCTTTAATTCAACACAGAACTGCAGCAGAAAAGGTTTCCTGTGTCTCCTGCCTGTGTACCTACGTGTTAATGTGTGATCGGTGTAAGCAGAACTCTTCAGTCCAGAGAACTCTGTGATCACGCTGAACTGATACATCGTCCCAGGCTGCAGGTTGGAGATCCTATATGACACAACATTTGTCCTCGTCGTCTTCTGGGTTATAGATGCGTTTGTGTCATTAACACTCAGGATGTTTCCAGGCTGGATCTGGATTCTCCCACTCTAAAGTTACTCTGTCCACTAAACGCTCCGAAACTCGGACCGACGTCACACTGGGAGGAACTGAGGAAACACAACAGGACAATCATGACCTGTCATCACTTTAAAACACATGATTAATAAACTCACAAACGTACATCCAACAAACTGTATATTCACAATAAACTTCAAATCTGGTTTGCTTTGTAAACTGGTGTCTTTGAATACATTTAGCCAAACTAAACCAGATTAGAACAGTTTTAACAACACGACTACAGCCTTGTTAAACGCTGATATTTGGTACCATTTGGTGTCATGTTATTTTGTCTATACTGTGTTTAATAATTTATTTCATTTCTTGGTGATTTAATATAACTGCAGAATATAGAACTGTATCCTGTGCAAACTGTATGGAAATCTACAATGACAATAAAGACTTTACTTTTATAATCAATGTCAAAAAATCATAGTGAATATAAGCATCAATAAATCACCAACCTGTAGCAGCAGAGAATGATAATATGGAGCTGCTGACTCCATTCAACACAGTGAAGACAGTGAAATTATATTCTGTCCCAGCAGTCAGATTAGAGACCACATATTGAACAACTCCATCTGCATTATTGATGTCCTTAATGACAGGAGAACCATTTTCTTCATATTGCAGTTTGTATGTTGATCAATTCCATCAACTTTCTCCCACTGCAGAGTTATACTGCTGGTGTTCTGAGTTACTACTACATTTTCAAAAGCTTAAAAACAGAGAGAACAACGTTAATTCATTTGTGACACAGTCTGGACAGAAATCTGGTCTTGTTGTCATCAATTGAGAAAATTCTAATTTAGTTATCAGCTTAATATTATTTAAGGCAGTTCATTATCTTAAGGAAGTTCTACTTTCCAGAAATGTCAACATCTTTGCTCAAATTCATATGAACAAATTGATCACCAACCTGTAGCAGCAGAGAATGAGAATCCAGAGCTGCTGACTCCATTGGCCACAGTGAAAATAGTGAAACTATATTGTGTCCCAGCAGTCAGATTAGAGACCACATATTGAACAACTGCAGCTGCATTATTGATGGTCTCCATGACAGGAACTCCATTTTCTTCATATTCCAGTTTATATGTTGAGATGTCATCAACTTTGTTCCACTGCAGAGTTAAACTGTTAACACTCTGGGTCACCACTTCGACTTTTACTACATTCAGGAGCTGAAACCAGAGAACACACAGGGACCATTTAAAAAAGACAGAAAGTCAGATCTGCACAGTGAAATGACACCATTCAGAGAAGAATATTGATCATTAACTGTGGACAAAAAGAAGTTTATGCTCTGGATGCAATCAATGACTGTGATCAACTTGGAATGAGAGAAAATTCATAAATCACCAACCTGTAGCAGCAGGAAATGTGAATCCAGAGCTGCTGAGTCCATTAGCCTCAGTGAAAAGAGTGAAACTATATTGTGTCCCAGCAGTCAGACCAGAAACCACATGTTGTATAAATGTATCTCCAGTAAAATCACTGATGTCCTGAGAGACAGGAGAACCATTGACTTCATATTCCAGTCTATATGTTGAGATGCCGTTAACTTTGTTCCACTTCAGAGTTATACTGTTAACACTCTGGGTCTCCACTGAAACACTGGCTACATTATCAGGAGCTGAAAAACAAATAGCAAAAAGAAACATTTCATAAAAGTTAAGAGGACAGATATGCAAAAAAGGATTGCATTGAAAAAGAATGTAGATTATTAAATCTAATTTGTACCAAAAGGACATGATGCTCCAGGTTCGCATCTTGGATTCACTAATAACTCACCTGTAGCAGCAGAGACTATGAATCCAGAGCTGCTGACTCCACTGGCCACAGTGAAAAGAGTGAAATTATATTGTGTCCCAGCAGTCAGACCAGAAACCACATGTTGTATAAATGTAGCTCCAGAAAAATCACTGATGTCCTGGGAGACAGAACCTCCATTGACTTTATATTCCAGTCTGTATGTTGAGGTAAAGTCAACTTTGTCCCACTGCAGAGTTAAACTGTTAACACTCTGGGTCACCACTGAAACACTGGCTACATTATGAGGAGCTGAAAACAGAGAGAAAACAGAAACATATGAGAAAAGTAAAACATTCTGAATTATTTATTCTGATTTAACTATGTACAAAATGGAGGTGATGCTCCAGAGTGATTATCTTGTGATGAGATGAAACTCACAAATCACCAACCTTTAACAGCAGAGAATGAGAATCCAGAGCTGCTGACTCCATTCAACACAGTGAAGACAGTGAAATTATATTCTGTCCCAGCAGTCAGATCAACAACCTCATATTGAACAACTGCATCTGCATTATTGATGTCCTTCATGACAGGAACTCCATTTTCTTCATATTCCAGTTTATATGTTGAGATGTTATTAACTTTGTTCCACTTCAGAGTTAAACTGCTGGTGTTCTGATTCACCACTGAAACATTGGCTACAATCCCAGGAACTGAAAAGAGGAGACACTTTAGAAAAGCTAAATGTAACTTATAAACTATAATAATACTTTCCATACTAACCAGGTTCTTTGGGTTCTACTGATGAAGTTTTTATTGGTTCTGCTGTCGTAGAGTTCACTGTTACAACCTGAAACATGAAGATAAATAAACTAAAAACACATTAAAGATCCTGGAGAACTATTTGACTGTCAACAGTAAATACATTAATACTCTTTCCAAAGTTAGTGGTGTGAAAAAAATTTTTCCCTCCTGACTTCCTGCTTTCTGCATGTTTGTCACACTTCAATGTTTCTGAACATCAAACGGGTTTAAATATTAACCAAAGACAACACAAGTAAGTCCAAATTGTAGTTTTTAAATGAAGACTATTATTAATAAGAAAGAAAAACCCAAACTATATCAAACAGTGATTCCCCCTAAACCTAATATCTGATTGGGTCACACTGAGTACCAGCATCTGCAATCAGGTGTTTGTGATAAACTTAATCTTTGCAGAATTGTTGCAATTAAGCCTTAATGGCATGAACATTCTTTTTGAGGTCATTTTAATGTCAGTACTTTGACTAGGCCTTTCAGAGTTGGACCTGCTGGTGTGATTTGGAACATTGTTCTGCTGCAGAACCCAAACTGGCTTCAGTTTTGGTGTAGAGCTGAATTCACTGTTCCATTGATCACAGCAAAGCCAAACAGCCCAGAGCATCATACCACCTCCACCATGTTTTACCATCAGTGTGATGATGTGGTGGTACTTTTACACCAGATGTATTGAGATACACTCTTTCCAAAGAGTCCAGCTTTTGTCCCGTCAGTCCAAGAACATTTTCCATAGGAGTTATGGAAACCTTCAGATGATCTCATATTTATAGATCGTTAAACGATCTATAAATATGAGATTGTTGAAGCAATATCAAAAAACACTGACAGGTCATCGCAGAACATCTGAGAAGTTGGCATTAAATAAGTTCCATACATTGGAAAGTGACCAACAAAATATCTGAACAAGCTAAAACAACTGTAGTAGTGAAAGAAAAATGTAAAGCACTGAGTTTTTTAATTTATTGAAATGTTACTCTGCAAGGAAATAACAATTCAATTACTTCCTTCCAGGAAATAAATGAAATGCTTTATCCTTGCAACATTTCTCAATCACAGATTAATGTGGAGAAATGAGAGAGCAGAGCTACATATCTGAAGAAATCAAATCACTTCCAAGATTTTAAAGACTCATATTTGTTATTCTTCATAAAAAATATTATTGACAATGCATCAGTTTCCCGCATGTTTTGACCAGCTCTCTTAAAATGGTTTAATAAACAGCCTGATGTCAAGAGGTTTTAAAGCACAGATGCATCAACATCAGTGCAGAAACAGAAAAAACATGTTGTCTTCTTTACATTTACAAACTTCACAATCAAAGATGGCTGCCATGCATTTAAAACATAGTAACAGCTGCAGTGTCACTAATCTGGTGGCTCATATCTTCCTAAATCTTCAAAAATGTGCAACATAAATGTACAATGTCAATTTGTCAACACATACTTTAATTGTTTGAATGCATAAAAAGCAGCTGTATGATCTGAGTGCTCTGATTCAGAAAAGTTTTAACTGGTTAATGTTCTGACTCCAGAAGTAACCAAACTAAACTTAACTGTATTAAAAAGCTCTTCACTGCACACTTTCTCTGACAAGCTCCTGTCTGAAGGGATGAAAATATATATATATAAAATACACTTACCCAGAGCAGGGAGACATATATCAGCCGTTTGCAAGAGAAGGATTTTAGGAATAAAGGTTTCATCATCATTATTGCTAATAATCAATATTACACTATGATCAGGTCGTTGCTGCTTTCAGTCCTGCTTCACTGATCTGACCCAGATCTCTGTGCTTCCTTCTCTTTTCCCCAGTGATGAAGTCAATCATTATGTTTCCTTTACAATCACATAAACTTTTACTCCTCCTGCTGCTTCCTTCACAGTCAAACTGCACAACTTTTTCAAGACCCATTGGTGGGAGTTTGTCAAGCAAATTTCTGGAGTTAAATGTTTTTGGTGTTGAATATACAGCTTGTGAACTGTTTTTTATCTTTAGCATAATTTTATTGTCAATACAATGACATTAAATTGTCATTCAACACATTAGAAGGTCAAATAAAATCATTTAAAAACAGATGACACATAACATACACTATAAACACAAGTTTGTATCCATAGATCTTAAAATGTCACGTATATGAAACAGCTATAATTAAGTTTAGTGGTTATTTTATTGCACAGAAGGTGCATTATCACTGGTTTCACAGAGATAATGCATCTCAGTTCCTTATTTGCTGATGACAGCTAATAAGGAACTGGAAAAAGAAAAATATGACTTACAGAATCCAGGTCATCTCATATGAGTTACCTGTCAAAGAGTTTGTTTTCACTGTTCCTCACTGTGAGGAAAAATGGAGGAAGTTGATAAAAGTTATTATTATTTCTCCATGTGGAAACTTTAAAAGAGAGGATTGAGACATAGCAGAAAACCAAAAAAACATGTTATTTAAGAATTGTTCAAAATATTATTTTTTGAATGTTTTTTTTTTTTTTTTTACTGGATCAAAATGCAGAGAGAAACATTGGAGCACCAACTAAAACGCTTTAGCTTAAAAACAAACACCTGGTGATAAACATCCCAGATGAAGACAGATCTATTGGTGAAGCTGACAGAACAACCTTTTCTGTTTCGGCGAGGCTAACATAATGTAACATCATGTAACATAATGTTATCATGAAAAACAAAGTCTTCCCAGAAAACGAACAAAGATATTGCATTCCTCTCATTGCTTCTGTGACTGAAACAATAATTTCACTGCTGTGACTTTGGCTGTTCAGGTCAGTTGAAGGTTTTGACCACTGAAGATCCTGGAATGGGATTTACTCAGTTGTTGCATCCAAAAACTATTTAGGTTTGTAAAAATGAATGTTAATATTTCATTTTCTTGGTTCCAGTTATGCAGTTGAATCTGACTAATAATTGGCTCAATGTTTCTTTACTAATAACTTATTAGTAATAAGTGACTCTTTACTTGTTTACTTAGGAACACAATAGAAGTTTAAAGCAGATTGCGATCATAAACCCAGAACAACCCAGATCTCTGCTCCATCCATCAGGGAGGAGGTTTCTAGTTCCAGTCTTGGGTTCTAATGTCAAGTATTTTTTTTTTTCAGATTTGTCCCTGAATCAAATAACTGAATTAGCTCCTCAGAACAATCACCTGATTACTTGATTCAGGTGTGTTGAAACAGAGACACAGATGTGTCTCTGTAAAGTTAAACACATTTGCAGCCATGAATCAGTGAAAACGTCCAATTAGCTTCAACATATAAAAGCTGAAGAAGAAAAGCTGTCGGATTGGTTAAACAAGATGTCAACAAGTAAGTAATTGTTTCAATATGTTTATAAAATCTAGTTTAAAAAAAAAACGTTGTCTAAAGATACAGTTTGTTTTTAGTCCATTTTAGGAGCTAACAGTGCTAAATGCTCGTTTGTTTTCATTGTTAGCTTGTGGGACTAGCCTGCTAGCTTGTGGGATTAGCCTGCTAGCTGTTGGGATTAGCCTGCTAGCTTGTGGGATTAGCCTGCTAGCTTGTGGGATTAGCCTGCTAGCTATTGGGATTAGCCTGCTAGCTTGAGCTGCGGCCTCCAGCTGCTGTCAGGTGTGATTTGGTAAAAGTAGCAAAGCCTGCTGAGGTTACATCAGTTAAACCCGTCATCACTCAACCACACAGGATGAATGTTTTAGGTTCAGAGCCTTTAAATACTGAAGACATGAACTGGATCACAGACTTTGGGTTGGAAGTCAAACTGTTAGACAAGCGAGGAGTTGATTAGCATCTAAAGTCCTACTTCAACCTAACTCCAGGTACTATCAAGGTCTCTTTATGTTTCTCTTAGAAATGCAGACTGCAGTGAAGCAAAACTACCATGCAGAGACTGAAGGCGACATCAACAAGCTCATCAAGCTGAAGCTCAGTGCTTCCTACACATATCTTGCTCTGGTAAGTTCAGCTAAAGTCTGTCATGTTACAAACTGATGACTGGTTTCTGATGTTTCTTTTTTGCTTTTCAGGGGATGTATTTTGACAGGGATGATGTTGCATTGCCGCACTTCTCCAGGTTTTTCCTGGAGCGCTCCAAGAAGGAGCGGGAACAGGCTGAGGAGCTGCTGGAATACCAGAACACCAGAGGAGGCCGGATTCTGCTGCAGACCATCGCTGTGAGTTGAAGTCATTTTTAAAAAGGGGAAAGGTTTTTTTTACCAATAAAAGTGATCAGGCCAGTTAAAAATTGGAGTTATGTGGAGATGAAAACCTGTATTTATTAGAAAGTTTGCTTCTGTCATTTTTCTCCAAAGTTGAGTGCTGTCATGGCAAGTTTCTAAGAAACTTGGAAGCGCAACTATTGGTCACAAGCAATTTAACAAGAAAATGTTAGAATTTTGTTTTTAAAATTATTTTTAGTCTGTGGGCAGGGATGATGCAGAAGAAACTGAGAAATTAAAACTGGTACCAATAAACAAAGGTGACAATAATGGCTGCTTCTATGGCTTAAAGGACAAACTTTAGTAAAAGACTCAATTTGTCAACTTGACTTTAATTAAAAATATACTATTTCTAACTCTAACTCTATTCAATTCTATAGATCCCCTAAATGAAACCAAGACAGGAGAATTAAACTCACCTGATTGAGTTTGAGAAGAAAAGCTCTTCAAGTGGTTTCAGTAGAAATGCTGATCTAGTCTGATGGAAACATTAAATCTGTTTCTAGAAACCGAGCAGGGAGGACTGGAAAGGCGGTCTGGATGCGTTGACCTTCTCCCTGGAATACCAGAAGTCCCTGAACACTTCCATCTTGGATGTTCACCGCAGAGCCAACAGCAAGAAAGACCCACATGTTAGTTTAGCTGTGATTATTAAAGAAATGAAATCTTCTCTCCAGGTTTTGTTACAGTTTCTTCCTCTTCTAGCTCTGCGACTTCCTGGAGCGGGAGTTCCTCGTCGACAGCCATGACGCCATCAAAAAGCTGGGCGACTACATCAGCAATCTGACCCGCCTCACCGGCGCCGACCCGCACGGCTCCATGGCAGATTACCTGTTCGACAGACTCACCCTCTAACGGCGGCATTAACATCTCCAGCTGTCCACATTTCCAAAGAGGTCAAAGCTGCATTTGTTTCTGTTAAAAAAAACTATTTGCACATTTAACCCTAAACTTCTTTATTTCTGTACAATAGGTCAAACATCAACTTTTCTAAAAGAACCAGGAGCGCCAATGTTCTGAAGTTGTAGCAAAAGCCATAATTTTTGTAATGAGCTGTTGTGAAATATTTGGTTATCATGTCATGCATTCCATAGTCCTATTTTTGCAAACCTTTCTGAAATATTTCATGATCTGGAAGATGAAATGTCTAATAAATCTAAACCTGTGAAGCATTTCCTGTTGCTGTCTTTCAGTCTGAGCTTCAGTCATTATCCAGGATTGACGACATGGATTTTTATTTGGGATTTTCACTTTATAATGAATGAAGACAAGTTAAGTTTTTAAAACTAGAAAATTTTATAAAAACGATATTGCTTCAAAACGCTGTAGGTCCTGGGATTTACTTCAAAAAAAAAATACTAATTGGCAAAGTTTTTTTTTTTTTTTTTTTTTTTAACCAAGACTTTCCCAGTTCACATAGGAACACAATAGAAGTTTACATCAGGTTGAGATTATAAACTCAACCTAAACTTTGAACAATTGTTCTGTTCATCAAATATATACAATATATTGCATTCATGTGTTTAAAGTTTCTCTGTGAATGATTTGATTTCCCTTATCCAAAATGGGGAAAATGTTAATTATTTGAGAATATATTAACTTCCAGTCTTTATATTGATCTATGGGACCAAAATAAATGACAATTTCTGGATGCTCTTCAAAATTTACAGCTGATATCTATTTTAATCATGTATTGGTTTGTCAGAAATATTTGCAACAATTTAAAAGAAATATGTCGTATTATGTGTATCTGACTCGTTTCCTAACTTGGCATAGAAAGTCATCAATGAACGCTAGAGGGCGGTAAAACGTCAAGCTTCAACGTAGAAAAGCTGAAGAAGAAAAGCTCCGTTGCATTGTTTGGGGTAAACAAGACGTCAAGTCAGTAATTATGTCAGTGCCATTGTAATGTAGTTGTATAATGTAGTTCACTAACACGTTGTCTAAAGATAGTTTGTTTTTAGTCCATTGTAGGAGCTAACGGTGCTAACCGCTCGTTTATTTTCATTGTTAGCTTGTGGGATTAGCCTGCTAGCTTGAGCTGCAGCCTCTAGCTGCTGTCAGGTGTGATTTGGTAAAAGTAGCAAAGCGTTAGCCTATTAGCAAAGCCTGCTGAGGTTACATCAGTTAAACCCGTCATCACTCAACCACACAGGATGAATGTTTTAGGTTCAGAGCCTTTAAATACTGGAGACATGAAACTGGATCACAGACTTTGGGTTAGAAGTCAAACTGTTAGACAAGCTAGGAGTGTATTAGCATCTAAAGTCCCACTTCAATCTAACTCTAGGCCTCTTTATGTTTCTCTTAGAAATGCAGGCTGCAGTGAAGCAAAACTACCATGCAGAGACTGAAGGCGACATCAACAAGCTCATCAATCTGAAGCTCAGTGCTTCCTACACATATCTTGCCCTGGTAAGTTCAGCTAAAGTCTGTCATGTTACAAGCTGATGACTGTCCATCCATCAATCCATCCATTTTCTAACACCCTTGTCCCTAGTGGGCTCGGGAAGCAATCCGCTGACTGGTTTCTGATGTTTCTTTTTTGCTTTTCAGGGGATGTATTTTGACAGGGATGATGTTGCATTGCCGCACTTCTCCAGGTTTTTCCTGGAGCGCTCCAAGAAGGAGCGGGAACAGGCTGAGGAGCTGCTGGAATACCAGAACACCAGAGGAGGCCGGATTCTGCTGCAGACCATCGCTGTGAGTTCAAGACTTAAAATGTCATCAGTCTGAGCAGCTGCTGGCTTAAACACTGGACTACAACCTCAGTCTGGTTTCTAATCAACTCTATAAGTTAAATATTTTGGACTTAAAACTTTTGCAGATATGAAGATTTTAAATTTTAAAGTCTGAAACTTCCAGTTAGTAGTTGAGTGGATTGAAATAAAATCAAATGTCTGTTTTGCTAGTTGACGTCATCCTGACTACGTTGCATTTTTAGTGGTAAAGCTGCAAATTTTCTGACCTTTTCAAACCAGGTGACTTTGGGAAATGTGTCCTTTTAAAAAAAATAGTTTAGGGTTTACATAGAAGTGAGTGGAGTTGTAATTTGAAATGATTTAAAAGTACAAGAAAAGGAGGAAAATGAAACCCACCTGACTGAGTTTGAGAAGAAAAGCTCTTCAAATGGTTTCAGCGGAAATGCTGATCTAGTCTGACGGCAACATTAAATCTGTTCCTAGAAACCGAGCAGGGAGGACTGGAAAGGCGGTCTGGATGCGTTGACCTTCTCCCTGGAATACCAGAAGTCCCTGAACACTTCCATCTTGGATGTTCACCGCAGAGCCGACGGGAAGAAAGACCCACATGTTAGTTTAGCTGTGATTATTAAAGAAATGAAATCTTCTCTCCAGGTTTTGTTACAGTTTCTTCCTCTTCTAGCTCTGCGACTTCCTGGAGCGGGAGTTCCTCGTCGACAGCCATGATGCCATCAAGAAGCTGGGCGACTACATCGGCAGTCTGACCCGCCTCACCGGCGCCGACCCGCACGGCTCCATGGCAGATTACTTGTTCGACAGACACACCCTCTAAAAAAAGCATTAACATCTCCAGCTGTCCACATTTCCAAAGAGGTCAAAGCTGCATTTGTTTCCGTTAAAAAAACAACTATTTGCACTTTTAACCCTGAACTCCTTTATTTCTGTACAGTAGGTCAAACGTTAACTGGAATTACCTCAACTTTTCTAAAAGTACCAGGAGCATCAATGTTCTCAAGTTGTAGCAAAAGCCATAATTTTTGTAATGAGCCGTTATTGTGAAATGAATCACATTTGGTCTGTATCATGTCATGCATTCCATGGTCCTATTTTCACTTTTTACCAAATGCAAATGAATCAAATTGCTGAAACATTTCAATATCTGGAAAATGACCTGAAATTTTTAATAAATCTAAACCTGCCAAACCTTTGGAAGAATTCCTGTTTGCTCCGTCATGCGCTCTGAGGTTCAGTCTGAGGTTCAGTCATGTCTGCGGTTGGTTTCTGCTCTGTGGGATCATCTATGCCTCTAATAACCTGTTTTACTGAAACGGATTTGAATAAATGCAGGTTTGAGGTTTGGAAAAGAAAACATCCTGATCAGTTGACCTGATCCGACCTGTTGGAATGAATGTTCCCACCCTTAAATACTTTATTGCCGTATGTTTAGCTTGGTGTTCATAATGACTATAGTGTCCAGATTTACTCATTGTTTACAGACGAGAAATGCCATTTCATAAACTGGGGGAAATTATCCTTTGGGCCTTTGTGATTCATAACCCTGGCAAAAAACAGAACAAAGTTCAGAGAAACTGACTTTAAACACCTGGAAAGTTTTGCAAATTCTGGTATTTCAAAGAAATTGAGTAAAAAATAGTTTTAGGCAAAATATAACTTAAAACATTTTGTTTTAACCGTGCAGGTTTCAGTGTTTAATGCATTAAAATGTTTCAGTAGTAAAAATAAAAGTGATACATAAAAATATGGAGTAATTAAACATGTAAAACTAACTAGTTACTAACAGCCTTTTATCTGCTACATGGAGGAGAAAGAAATCATTTTCTAGACACTTTTACAGGAATCAAGTAAAATTACAAAACGTCCATCAAACAAAACAAATATACAGTACTGACTGTAAAACCTTGTTCATGATGAAACCAAACCAGAAACTTTGGGCCATAATGACAAAAAACATGTTTGCTAAATAAACAGACATGTCCTTTAATGTTCACTGGTGTGTATTTATTCTATTACTATTTTTTGTTAGTTTTTAAATGGAATATTTGTAATTTTCTCTGACTCCTGTAAAGTGCCTGAGTTTCTCTCCACAAATAAAATGTTTTATTTTAGTTTCTTCAGTCTTTCTGCAGCAGAATGGACACTGTCACTCAGAGTAGTTTGTAGATTAACAGCTATGCTGGCGGGATTAGTGACAGACTAGACGCTCCACACAATGTCTGTTGATTATCACACACTGCTGACATGAACACAGCACTGACCTCTCCACCTGAATAAAACAAATTCCCAAATTGATTCTCTTTGTCCGGTTTAAAACAGAGCAGTCGCAGGAAAACAAACACACTGCTGGTTTCTGTTCAGCAGAAAAGCAACAGATGTGTCGTCAGCGTTCTGATATCAGGGGGGATTAAACGATAACGCTGCTCTGGTAATTTGTCAGAGCTTTGATGGGAACGAGTTCAGGAAGCCTGCCAGGAGGAGACGGCGACGCGCTGCAGCTCTGATCATCATCCCAACAAAAAGAACAATTATTTTACACCAGCAAAGAGAAAACATCAGCAGGTAGGAAGAACTAAATTAAGTTTCTCCATATTTTACTTACAGAGTCCAGAGACGGGAAATTATTTAAATCCAAGAGTATCCAATACCGGAACAAAATTATCAGCTGTTTTATTATCTAGAGATGCAAATGTGTTTTGTTTTTGCTAATTGATTATTTGCAGAAAATAGTCAGAACTTTCCTGAAGAACGAAACATTTATTCTGTCAGATCAACTTTTGCAATTAATCTCTTTATTGATGTTTGTTTATTATTCTGTGAATTATTCTGTTACAATCCTTTACTAGACTGATCCATCCATCCATCCATCCATCTTTTTATTTTAGGTATATCTGTTTGCAAGGCTGTTTTTAGATTTATGAATAATCTTTTGTTTAATTCCTTATGTATTTATTTAGTTTGATTTTCTTAGTTTTTTCTTTTTTATTATCTCTTGCATTGGACAGAGTCCTTCTTGCTATACAGTTTTTTTATTATTATTATCACAAATCATGAAAATCACATAAAAATGACCTTTTTTTTTCTTCTGCATTATGTTGAATAAACTGCAGTTCTGGGTACATTAAAACTAGTTCAACATTCTCAACAAAAATCATAAAAATCTAATGTCTTAGTCGACTTACAGGCTGTTACAATGATCTAATAATCGATAAATTGAACATGACAGGGAATAAATGTGAAGAATATCAAGAGATGAGAGCAACTTCTGTGTTGCAGTTTGAGAATCTGAGATTTTGGATTAATATTTTGGAGGCAGAGTTTAATCCAGCCCGGCGGAGAATGAGGCTGGGATGGGAGTGAAGGCGAGGGTTAAGGGCCGCAGGAGATGACAGAGAGCGCGAGTAACAGAGGGATTAAGGTCAGCCATGTTGAGCATCTGGCTTAGGCGATGTCCCATGCTCCTGCTCCGTCCTGCAACACATGATCAGAGGGATTACGCTGCAGACATGCAGAAATGTGTCGCGGCTCGCTGAACGGGCCAACTACGCACACACTGACCTGCTCTGGGTTCCCACAGCTGGCATGAGGCTGGGCAGCGGCGGGCTCCGGCTCCGGAGGGCCGCGGAGCCGTCCGAACCCGAATCCGAGGAATCCACGGAACCGGCCGGTCACGAGCACAGCCATCCGGAACACCACCACGAACACGCGCATCCAGAACATCACCCCGCACACGAGTACGACCACATGAAGGAGAAGTTCATGAACGAGCTGAGTCACCTGCCAAGTAAGGCGCCGGCAGAACCGGGATGAACCGATCCGATGACTGTTTCACAAACAAAACGAAAAGGATTCAGAATATTTGAACTTTCACACCTTTTGTCAGTTCCAACCATGGAAGCACCAACACACTCTTTTCACTTCCGATATCTGAGGTTTAGTATCGGCTGACAGCGATACGATACAGAAAAACTTCTGAACTGATTTAAAATGTTTTTTTTTTAAACATGATATCTGATAACTGCAGTAAATCACTCTTAAATACACCAATAACTGTAAAAACATCAAATCTTGATGCTAGTCGGAAGAAGAACAGCCAATGTAAAATAAATAAAGTGACAAAAACAATAATCAACTTTTGTCGAACATGTGAAAACAACTACAGATGCACCAATCCACTTTTTATCACTTCTGATACCGATATCTGAGATTTAGTAGCGGCCGATACCGATCAGATGAAACGGTGTTGAATTGACTTAAAACATTTCTTCTTTTAAAAAACGCAGACGTAAATGGACTGAATTACAAATTAATTTGATAACTCTGCACCAGGAGGAGACGGCGACGCGCTGCAGCATCATCCCAACAAAAAGAACAATTATTTTACACCAGCAAAGAGAAAACATCAGCAGTAGAGCAAAGTTTGGTCAAACATGTAAAAAAAACTTTAATTTGTTCAGTTAGTGCAAAAAAACGTGACCAACCTTCTTTCAAATGGCTCAGAAAGTGCAATTAAGATTTCTAAATATAATGCAAAATAAATAAAATAGCATAGAATTAGGCTGAATAGATCTGCCACAACTTGTTTTCAGAATCCAAATCTGAATTTGCCCGAACAAAAAATATGAAATTCAGAGCATACACACATAAAGTATAATAAATAAACTTTAGAGGAAATAAAATGAATAATTTTTCATAGCATTTTCCACAAATATCAACATCTCATAGAAGAAATGTATCTAAAAGTGTAAATCTTTATTTTAAAATCTAAAGATCAAAAGAAAACAATGATTTCTTAAACATGAGAGCAAATATAGTAGATATTTATCAAAAATTATAAGCAGGTGTGTAATATTTACAGCAGAATTTCACTTTTATTTACCACTTTGTGTTGGTTTATCTGACAAAATCCCGTTAAATTGAAACTTTTAGCTGAACGTAATGTGCAATAAGTTCAATAGCATCAAGTCTTTGGGATGTTTGTGTTCAGGAATCAGTTCTGTTAAGCTAAAGATTACAGTGGGAAAGGAATGACTTATACTTATGATGTTTTTAAACGTCTACTCCCAGCTGCAGGAGTGTTATTATCTGATTGTGGGGAAGAAAGTGTTTACTAACCAAACACACTCAGCAAACTGTCTGCAGATAAGTGTCAGCTCTGAAAATCCCTGAGGATCAGACAAATGAACTCATCGGTGAAATACTGTGGTTCATTCAAAGTGATTAAAAATCTCATTTGGGTCGGGCTGACTCGCCGCTCTTCTGTAGTTCCTGTGTGGGCAGTGGCGGCCATCGTCGTTCTGGTCCTGGTTCTGGTGGCCTGCTTTATCTTCTGCGTTTTCAAAAAATGTTTTGGGAAAAAGAAAAAGCCGAAGAAAGAGAGGGGGAGGAAGGCCGGAGGTCGGCGCCGGAAGGAGAAGGAAGGAGAAGGGGAATCCGGAGAAAAGGTGGGTTACTTTTGGCTCCGCAGCCAGTCTCACCTCTTCTGCTGTTTCACGATGAGTCATGGAGACGTTTCCTGTTGCAGGATGGAGACGTGAAAAAGGACGGAGAGGAAGAAGAGAAAGAGCAGGAGAAGTTGGGAAAGCTGGAGTTCTCCTTGGATTACAACTTCACAGATTCTCAGGTAGCAACAGTTAAAACAGATTAAAGATTAAAATTAGTTCCAATCGATTCACTAACGATGAATCAGAGCTACTGTTAGTGTGATCGCCATCCACAAGAGGGCGCCACTGGTCAGTCGTAAGCGGAGCCAGCTGAAAGAGAAACAAAGATGGCGGATGTAGCGTCAGCATATTCGGGTCGTTCTAGATAGAAAAAGGATTAAATTTCTGCCAGAAAACAAGAAACTTTGAGATCAATATCATACATTTTCTGGACAAAAAATGAAAATTTCTGAGTCAAAAAGTCAAAAATATGCGAGATAAAAATCTAAAATTTCTGAAATTTTCTAAAGAAAAATTAGAAAATTTCTGAGTTTGAAAAGTAAAAAAATATGTTAGAAAAATGCAGAAATGTTTAGACTGATCTCAGAAATTTTCTAAAAACAGGAAGATTAAATTGTTCTTTTTTTTCTGGACAATTTTTGAGATTGAGTCAGTTTTTATCTGCGAAAAACTTTATTCCTATCTACAATGGGCCTGATACGATGCACTTTTTAAAAATTAGGAAATAATAGAAAAATTGCCCTTTCTG